AACCAGGGAAATTGATTGGATAACTTTAAGGAGCAGCGACCCGAACCACCGAGGCGGAACACTTTAATGGCAAGTTCCGTTTACGAGAGCTACGGCCAGAAATGGCGTGCAGCTAACCAAATGACGAAGCGATTATTTTGCAGGATTTTATTTCCCAGTGTCTATGGGAAAACTCCGTTCGCACATTGCATTCGTAATTCTAATAGACAATCTCATCCTACCCGTCCGCCGTCCTCTTCTATTCCCCTAACGACTTCGCAATGGCTTTTTAAAGAGATTTGCAGCTCGTCATTGTCAGTCGGCTTAATCCTAATAATTCAAGCTGCCATATATCTGTATGAGATAACTTCGCGAGCATGCGAATACACAGTTGCTTATGCAACTTTTAGCGATGAAAAACGAAAACGTTTACCGGATCATCCTTTAACCGTATTACAACGATGATCACAAAGAGTGTATCGCAATTACATAGCGTTTGCATTAATTACATCTTTGCAGATTTGATTTAAAATATCATATAATAAAATAAAAAAATGCTTTTTTTTCATTCTGTCAGTTATGCAAAAAAATCTTATGTAATAATATATTTTATTTATACTTTTTTTATTTAAAACTATAATTTGTATTCTTTGTTCCGAGTAATTAATTGAACACAAAGATTTACTCTAATAAATTCCATTAATTTCGAATAAAGCTAATTATTCCAAATGATTACTGATTTAATAAATTAAATGTCTGTAGTAATTTAAAAAAAAGCATATTTTTTAAACTATATATAGCAATATCATCATCTTAATTGCGATAATTCGTAAAATTGCGATCGCGCATCGTGTATTATATTAAGCTCATAAAAATTATAAGAAAGCACCGACGTTTTAACGTAAAAAGGATAAATATCGGTTCGTTAAACAAAACTGCGATATAACGAGGTGACGATTCTTATTTACTTCGGCTCGACTTAATCAACGATAAAATAGCATGATAAGATAATTTCATAACAATGAAATGTGCATTCCAAAAAAATGATGTGTCATATATTTGCGCCTTTTTACAAATCTTAGAACAATTGGAAAATGTTAAATTGAACACATTTTCATGTATCCCAGCCGAATTTTTATGTTAATTTGACATAAGATAAAAAATAATATAAACATAATACTATGTAAAAATTAACATAAAAAATGTAACATTTTAATACAATTTAAAAACAAACTGTGGGAACATATTTCTTTAATAAAATTAACTTTAAAAAAATTTATTATTTGTTAAATATTCATTTCTTTTCGAATTTACGTTTTAAAATTACATTATCTTTTTTTATAATTATTTATTCACTTAATAAATAATCATAAATTGTCTTATTTTAAGAACAATTAAATATTAATTTAACAGAAAATATCCAAATAACATGTTAAAAACACAAAAATTTTAATAAAGGCAAGTTTTAAAATAGTAGAAAATGTTTTTTGTGTAGACAATTTAATTAGGCGAATATGTATGGTACAAAAGTATTATAAGAATACAAAAGAATTATAAAGGAACAAATTAGCGAAAATCTCAGCTAAGCGAGCACACAGCAAGTATAATATAATATTCTTTGTTACTGAGTAATCGTCTCAGATACGCTTTATATCAAAGGCGAATTAATTCAAAATAAATAGATAGTAAAAGTAGACTATATAAAATTATTGTATCAACGTGTCTCTAAACAATAATGCTATGATAATCTTTTTTATGTAAGAGAACAATTGAGAATATTTAATCAAAATCGTTAGTATTCTTTCCCAAAGTATTTCATTACAATTATACTGGATTCTTTCAACAAAAGAAACCATGATTTCTTTCACCAAAGGAAATCACGAATCCATTTTATTTGAACCTTCTAACGCTGTTGCTATACAAAAAGTATTTCTCATTCCGTTATTATTTCCTTGAAATACATTCTTTTTAATTAATTATTATCCAAGTTAACTAGATATTTTTAATAATAAATTATAATCACATAATAGATAAAATACAAAATATTGTAATTATCAAGAATATTATCGAATAATAAGTAATTTGATATAGACAAATGCACAAATGGAAAAGTTAATTTCGTGAGAACAAATACTGCTTACGTGATGCAGCATACGTGAAATTCAATATAGTCGCAAACCATAATTTCCACAATGGAAATAAAGAAACGCTGAATAATTCAAGATAGCGATAAAACTCAGCCAGCGAGAATTCTTAGTCATAATACTACCAAAATCAAACTTATCCATCCTTCAATGCACTTCTCACAAGCGTGCCACGAATAATTTGCGATGTAAGGAAAAATAAAGCTGTAGTCCGGAGGGCTTTTCCTTCAAGGATAATAGATAAGAAAACTGAGCCTTTAAAAGAATGTATCAATTCCCTGTCTGCTCACTAGAAAACGCGTACATCGAAAGATTGCAAAACATATATTACATTTATTTCCGATAAAATCATCCAATATATCACATATTGACCATTATTATATATTACATTTCAATCATATTATTCGATTCTATTTCTGCATTTTGCTTTTAAACTGACTTCATCAATCCATTTTCATTAAGGTACTGATATGTTAATTTTTTAAATAAATAAACGCATAACGTAAGTAATATAACAAGTTATCGATTTGTTATGGGCAACCTATCTATTTTGTGTGTGTGTGTGTGTGTGTGTGTGTGTGTGTCCTTTGTAAGTTAATTACCTCAATTAAAACTACCGTTTATTTATAATTATAAATTAATAAATTTCACAATCGAGTTTACAAAGGTAAAAAATTAATAAAATGTGCAATTAATAAACAAGGTAGAAAGAAAATTTCTCATTTACACAGTTACATTACATTTTACAACTGAAAATTACCTGAAAATTAAAACTTATTGAAAAAGAATTCTTTATGATTTGTAAAAATCCAATTTGTCATATTTTTATTCTCTTTTATTATTTACGATCTTTTACATAATTGCGCAAATTACTAAAATTTTTATGTTATAGTGATTTTTATTGAATTCAATAAAGGAAACATTTCAGAGTTTATTATTGATTCTTTCAAAATTCCGTTAAAGTCTTTCAAAATTCCGTTAAAGTCTTTCAAAATTCTAAAGCTGTTTTGTAATAGTAATTTATTGTACAAGATTACGAAAGAACAGTAGCGAGGATCAAAAGAGTCTGTCGACAATTTACTGCAGCTTTCGCTGATACAGAACTTCCAAGTACGCTTCATCTAGAAATATGAAATTGATATGTCAAAGCCAGTCTCCATTCTCCAATCTCCGTTTTAGCACACTCTCATGCTCCCATTGACGTCTTCCTCGCTCATCTTACAATATTATATATATATTACACTACATCCACAGTATTTAACACATCAGTGAAATACTTATAAAAGAGATCCTGCGTTTATTTTTCTAAATATATAAATTTATAAGAAATATAATATTTCTAAATACGTTTATAATATTTCATTTAAAAAAAACCGATCAAAATTTTTACAAGAGTTCTAAACTTTCAATAAAACAACTAAACTTTTATAGGCAAAAGTTATAAATATAAATTAATTTATAATATAAATAGTAATTATTGTCAGTTACATATTTTGCTATTAAATTGCTCAAGTCTTTTAATTTTCATTGCAGCCTGCAAGCAACTATCCAGATCGGTACAAGGCATCTTCGGACCGTCTGACCCACTTTTAGGTGCTCATATACAAAGTATATGCGAAGCATTGGACGTTCCTCACCTTGAAGCGAGAGTCGATTTCGAGCCCACTTTCAAAGAGTTCAGCATTAACTTATATCCCGCACAAGATCATCTTAACACAGCATTCAAGGACCTTATTTCCTTTCTAAATTGGACTAGAGTGGCTATTATCTATGAAGAAGATTATGGTAAGTGAAGAACAATAAAATTGTCGCGGTAATCTTTGAAATCCTCACAAACTCATATAAATGTTCAATGTATCTTATTAGCAAGAATATTTTTACAAGAGTTTATCCTCTCTCTCTCTCTCTCTCTCTCTCTCTCTCTCTCTCTCTCTCTCTTCGCATTAATATCTACATTTTTTAATCTTATTTTCACAATGTAATGTTAATTTGTTATATATCGCGCAGTAATCAACTCGGATGGTACAGGATTAAATCGGTATATATTTTTCCGTACAGAACGGTAAGAATGGTTCTAATGGAACGCGGTATGCAATGGACTGTGAGCACGAACATGCGAACAATGCTACACACGACATCCAAGTTAAAAAGATTTCCCGACCGCATGGAACTCATTTTACCGGCGGACTTCGTATATGTATAACAACAACTATTCCATGGAAACTACTCCATGGATATACGGAACAGGCGATCTCGTTAACACCGTCGACGCGTTCATTACGCAGATGCGTTTTATTTTATTTTATTTCATTTTATTTCATTTTATTTTTGGTTCCTCCGCAATGTCGGCGATGCGTCTCTATGCAAATAGAACGTCGGAATCAGACACCGGAAGTGGAATCCCGCTACCGTCCAAAATGTCGGCTTGTCACTCGCACGCAGAAGTAACGCGTTTACATACGACGACGTAAACTCGCGACGACCGCTCACGAGATTGCTCTCTGTCACTCCCTCGCCACTTTTTGCCATCAACTTAACCCCTCGGTCGCGGCTCCTCTTGGCGCCCATTTCCATTCCGCGACGGGCTGGCATCACTCGCGGCAACTCATCGAAATTCCGACGCGGCGTTGACGCATAATATCCACGCCAAAGTCACCTGTCATCTCCATTCTTTTCGAATCGCATTAGTATATTTTAACTATCGCCGGGAAAATGTATGAATTCACCCATATCCATATTTCTTTCATCCATATCCGTCTATCCGGGAAAAGCCTTTACATTTATTTGCCTCGACGGAGAAACCGCAATCGTCATGGTCAAGTAATTATTTATAAAGCATCACGATTTGTATTATCAGAATTTGGAAATGAAAAGGAGAATTTCTCCCACTTATACAACTTATCGATTTGACGTATCCAAAGAGTCGCTGTTTGTTTCATTAGTAATTGCTATTCAAGCCATGGATCTTACAGCGAATTCGGTTGAACGCACTAACAAAATTTTATTCCCCATTCTTAACATTTTTAAAGTTAATAATTCTAGATATCGCAAATTTATCGCATATTTACGAAACGAGTCCTTTCGCTTATAGTTCTTGCGAAGGAAAAAGTGGGAGGTCTCCGACCTTATCTTCTCTAAACTGCCGCTCTTGATTGGACGATGTAACTTGGCGTATAACAGGAGCACAAAGTAGGACGCTGCCGTTAGCGATAAAACGAGAGAGGAAACGGAAAGAACGCACTTTTTGCCCCCTTGATTTCTATGGCCTACCATAAATCCATGACAAGGGGATAAGACAAGGAGTTTCAAAATTCCCCGTCGTAAAAGCGACGCGTGTCGAAAACGTTTCAACTATAACTCGCTAGGAGAAATGTAACATCCCCAACCTGGTATCACCTAAATATTCATTAGTCGAGAAAATTCGCGTCTCACGAGTTCGTTAAAACTTCAACATGCAAAGACAGTCGCTCACTTAAACACCATTAAATATTAAGCAGTCAACGTCAATTGGGAATGATACGACTTGAAGTTTCAGTGAACGTAGTGATTTGTAAATTTTCAAACGATAATTATAGTTTAATAAGTTTAATTAGCGAGCTTCAAGTATAATGAGAATCGCTGCGAGATTTTGAATAAACCTCTCGAGCACTTTACAAATTTGGCAAGCCCCCTGCGTCACTCGTTGTCATTTAGTTATTCATAGTCATAGGAGAAATAGTTTCGCAGTTCGTTAAAACTTTATCGAGTATGAAAAGTTTCGTTTTTCGGCATAAAATAATGAATCGTTTAACGTGACGACGAGACGCTTGAGCCAACGAGCGAAACGTGATTTTGAGACAGAAATATGTAATAGCGCGATGTATGAAACTATTAGTTACTTTTATTTTCGAATAATTAATTATCAGCTTTAATCGAATAAGCAACGCGCATAACTGAGTACTCATTTAGACTGGCCTCCCTGTTTCCTAAAAAAAAAAATTTAACGTCTAATAAATTAAATTGTCAAATTTAATAATATTACTCATCATTAAAAAATGCTTAAATATTTAACACAATTTTTAAAAAATTTTCAAAAGTTCTCAAAGAGATTAAATGTTTTTCAACGGAATTATCAAATTTATTTATTAAAAGTCTCTATTTATTCTCTGAACATTTTGAAATAATTTATAGATTTCAGTTTTTCAATAATAATGAGAGAATACTCGTATAATAAAATTATATCGTTTCATAAAAAATTTACACAGAAATGAGTATTTGGCACTATCTGCATTGGTGTTGTATCTATGACTTCAACGAGGTCAAGAAATCTCGCACATAAACGTTCGTTTATATCATCAAAATGATAAGATGAGAGAACGCAAAACTAGTGTACATTTTTCCTGAACTGTTTCTCTCTGTATCGTATAATGCCATCATAAATTTCCAGATATAACACTGTATATAGTTACTGCTATCTACTGAGTTAATTTTGTAAACCAGACTACCCTGTGCAATTTTCCTACTTTCCCTTTTACACGTTTCTTAGTCAGGAATGCTCGTGGTAGTCCTTTATATATCAAATACTCTAAGAAAACCTTGATCTTCATTACAACCCTTTATTATTTAAGATATTTCCATTCTCTCACTCCAAGTTGTTTACAGAAATTTAACTCAATAAACTTTATTTAAATACACGTAAACATAATTCTATTATTTAATAAACTTGTTACAAAGTTATTTACTATATATCAAGAGTCTCGTAAAATTTACTTTACTTTCAATCGCTTATAATAAGCAAGTTATTAATGTCAGAAAATTGTCAGAGAATCTGGTTCAACACGGGAAAATTCAACGCCTTAATAAATAAAAAAAAAACTGTCAGTGAAATTAAGTTCTTGAGTCTAAAAGCATCTTGTGTACAAGCGTAGAAGTATGCAAGCGGCCGTAATTGCTCGATTTGTTCCGAAAGTGAAGTTTACCATTTTTCATTTTTACATTTTGCGGAAAGTGCCAGCTCTCCTGCGAGCTGCGCTCGTTAACGCGCCAGAAAATTTATCTTCTTCTGCTTCTCTTTCACCATCCTTTAGCTGTTTATCGATCTTCTTCCTGCCGTCGCTCTATTCGTTGCAATCATTACGAAGAAGTAATTAGCAAGCTCAAAGTTGGAGGCACCTATCTGTCCAAGAAGTCTCTTTCAGAAATACGGAAAAGTAGGATTGCACTGAAGATCTTGCGACTTTATCAGATTTGTATCTTTGAGTAAAGTCCAGAGAAAACATGCCGCTTGGAAATTGAAAGGGTCTAATGTGCTGAATACATTAACAATAAATCGACGATAATATCAACGATAATATTTTTCTCATTCTTCTACAGCGTTTTTTTTCTTATGAAGCCATAAATTAATTTATCAATTAAATTATTCAAATACTATATAACTAATTAATTTTTAATAAATTATTATTGTAACAATAAGTTATTGTATATTAATAATACTTTTTTCTCTTAATTAAAACAAAAAAAAAGGATAAGAATCAAATTGTGATTAAAATTAATTAATGTCGATCGAATTGACGCAGAAAATGAACCGCGGGCGAACGTAACCGTATACGTATGTAATGGATTCCGTGCACGCGACGGAAATCTCGAGTCGACAGCAACTTAAGAAGTAGTCGAAGAACAATCGGATGGAAGTAAATTGTGAAAGTCGTGATACCTTTTTAGCTACATCTTCGCAAACCCTCTTAACGCTGTAAAAGTAGTTATGAAAAGTTTGCTACCAAAGTCACGGTCTTGATAGTTTAATCGCAAATCTCTCTCTGTAAATCAAATTAACAAGTTTATGTTCCCACATTGTTCTTTTGCCACAGATGGCAAACGATGAGTATTTTATCAACTCATCCATTTCTGTCATGCAAAAACCCATTCTTACATTATGTCTCAACCCATACCTATTACGTAAAAATAACACGTATCATAAGAATCTAGATGTTGATTAGATTACATTGTACGAATGGAGGATTGTGGAAGACTTCTATTACCATTCCAGAAAATTGGTTGTTTCATTTATTACGCTTTGCGAAATGTTCTCGAATTTTTATACCATTGTTTCGTATTATTTTATTCATTTCTCGCTAACAGTATAATTTGAAAATAAACCTGCTATTTCCATCTCTGTTAAAATAATTGACAAATAAAAAGGAATAAAAAATGTTAATTTCAGAAATAATTAAAATGTTTCATTACTGCAGTAATTCAACGTTTTTCAATTCGAGGCATATTACATAACTTTGACGAGGTACATTAGGTGTACAAGCTTTAACGTATATCATATGTCTTTTATCAGATATCATCAATACGATATTCAATAATAAACAGTGAAATTCTAATATTATTATTTTTTATTTGATTGTTTCAAATTTTTTGTAATTTTATTGCGATATTATTATGATTAAAATAAAAGTAAACAAAATATAATTTAGGTCATTATCTCAATTTTTAAAATATACTTTGCGTCTTACTCACTTTTTTATAAATTTTAATTTTTCCACTTTTTTTACCTTCGCTAAAATTTTCACAGCATATTTGAAAACTATTTGCGGTTAGTCAGCCGTAGCACACCGGTTGAAAAACTTTGTCCTAACTCATGAAAAAGTACTTTCATTTTGTTTCTGTTTAATACACGATATAAAATTGACAAGATAAATCGTGAGTTCACGTAGATATTTGAGATAATTGCAACAAGCAATGCCAATCAATTAAAAATATTTGTTGTGACGTAACTTTAAATGTTTCATAAAGGAAAGGATTAAAAGAAATAACAAGCACGCGCAATGATAAAACTTGGCATTACGCCGAGGACCAATTTGCCGCGAAAAAATACCTCTCTTCTGTTTTTGCAGGGCTGTTCAAACTGCAGGATCTCGTAAAATCCCCGCCATCCGTGAGAACTGAAATGTACATTCGTCAGGCGGGCCCTGCATCCTACAGGCAGGTCCTGCGGGAGGTCAGACACAAAGAGATCTTCAAGTTGATTGTTGACACAGATCCGGCGCACATGCAGCAATTCTTCCGAGCGGTGAGTTTTAAATGTTTCGATATTTGGCATCATTTCACAAAATCTGAATGTTTAAATACTGATATCGTTCATGCACCTCCAAAAAGATTCCAACAATCTCCATTTATATTGTACATTCATCGCCTTTTTTTCATCATGTTAAAATTACATTTTGAAAATCAGAGTACGAACGTATCTCCCCCCTCCGCACATATATCCCTCTTGCTATATTTTTTCACACCGTTAATCTCTTGCATGATAAATCTGACAAGTTGCTTTATTCGGATAGATACTATATTTTTGCAATAAAATACGAAATATTATAAAAGAGTTGCAAACCTAAATCATTCAAATATAAAATCTTTACCAGATTTATGTTATTATAGTCACAACTTATTTTATAAATATATTTATTTTGTATGTCTTTCTATATTTTATTACTTTCCCCTTTTCCTTGCAAAATTTGAACATGTATCTTGTTATAAATATGAAAATCTGAAATAAACAAAACTAATGCATGTTAACAAAATGTTCCCAGACTTGTTTCATGAAAGAAGAAATATTAGAATTCATCAGCGAAATATTTTGTTCTTTTCCGAATTATTAGTATTTATTTGAAAAAAAAAAAATCAGAGGAGAAATTCGCGCAGAAAACTGTCATCAATGCATCTGATATAAGTGACGTGATGCACATGTAATTATGAATAATTGTTCTTTCTCTGTGAGAAAATTTAATACCTGTCCAACTTTAATTTAATATCTGTCCAAATCTCTTTTAGATATCGATGGACTCGTTAGAATCGCATTGAAAATAAGTAAAAAATACAGCTTATGGCGGTTGTATAGACGGAAAACATGTTGTTTACTGGATGTAAAATGAAAGAAAAAGAGAAAACAAGCAGAAATCTGTACACGGGGCGCATCGCAACTCATAAATAACTTTCCAGAATCATGCAAAGGGACTCGGTTGCTCGGAGATTAAAAGGACTTTTGCAATAGGGATTAATGGTGACTGTACGTTGCAGTTTTTCTTTCTAAAACAACACTTCTTGTTGCCTTCTAGTTTTAGATTCAAAATGAAAATGCAGTGTTCAAAAAATGTTCTTAATGTATCCTAAAGCGATATACAATATAATATAAGTAGATCGAAAAGTAGAATAAATTTATATTTTATATTTTAATTTATATTTTATATTTAATTTATATTTTATATTTATAATTTATATTTTAAAAATCTCTCATATTTAAATTATTATATATTGAATTATATTATAACAGATAAAGCAACTTTTAGAAATTTTGAGTAATATTTGTATTATGTAAAATATATAATATTCATAACAGCGACGATAATAAAAATTAACGACATTATGAAAATATCTAATAGATTACTGAAATATTTAATAAATTCTTTTTAAATGCTTTGAAAATAATTAATAAATAACAAATATCAATTCATGCTTGTAAGATGTAGAAACTTTTAACATATTTAATGTCTTTTTATATTTTATATTATACAGTTTATTTATTATTTATATTCAATGACGTAATAATTTTTTGAGTTATATAGACCACTATATTCGTGGACACTCACGATGACAATGGCTTCGTAATATTTAACCATCTATTTGCAAACACATGACGCAAATCAGCAAATCGTGAAATTAAATCGCACGACTTGTTAGTGGTAACAAAACAAGGTGAAAATAATTCATGAAAATCGTATGCCATTTTCACGCTCGCTTGAAGTGATAAAAGCACTCGATGTTTTTCCCGATACTTTTGGAAATGCTGTTGCGTGCACGGCCGACAAATAGAAAAATTTGCATAATCGGGCGAGTGATCAACGTGTCGGAAATACACGCCTCGGTTGTTCACTATTGAAACACGCGTTATCGACTCGTTTCTCAGTTGTGAAGATAATATTGCAAAAAACGATAAAATTTGTTCGTTATAACTTAGGACAATCAATATCATGAGAAAAATGTGTCTGTGAAATCAGCACGGCATTTTATTAATTTTCAAAAAATAATGATTATTCCGGTGGCACTTTCTATTGTTCTTTCAAAATTTAATAGAAGAATAAAATATTCGATGGTATCTAGTACTTTAAAGGAAGTTATGCCATGCTAGAACGTAAAATTATCAAGGCATTTCTTTATTTTTCATTTTTTGATATTAAAAATACGGAACATTTTGTTATTTTTGAACAAACAGTAGAATAGTGGAAAGTACTACCAAATCATTATTTTTTGAAAATTAATAAAATACCGTGTTAACTTCACAGATACAAGAAAAGACGCGACTTCCCGTAATTTATGTACATAACAAACATGAGACAACAGCGCATAAATTATTCAGTGTTTAATTTACAATGAATTGTGTAACATAAATACAAAATAAAATTACATTCAATTGAGCCTGCATAATATATGTAATGCAATTATATGCAGACCTCCATATAAATAATGTTGATATAAAAAGGATAGAATGTTAGAATTTACTGTAATAAATTAAATAGCATATAATTAATTAGCAAAGTGTATAAAGTAAACAAAAAAATCATTTTATACGCATGTAGCAAATTGCTATGAACAAAGAAGTAATTACGAGATTATCAGATAATTACAATCAAATATAAAACGAAAAGTAAAACAATTGTGCATTATAGAAAAGTATTCAAATCCAGGAAATGTAGAAAAACTTATTCGCAATCTAAAGATTAAGACTGTAAATACATTGAAAGCAAGAGGGATTAGATTTTGTTCCTTTCCACAATCTTGTCAGCGGTACTCCGGAAAGCAATCTTGCTTCAGATGCGGTCGAAGCAAACCCGTTATTTGCATGTTACGTCCTTCGGGAATTTCTAAGGATAACCCTCAACCGGTCGAGTAATCAAAAAACGTCCATGCTTTCATGCAACGGGTCTCGTATATCCTTTTAACCTCGCACGCCCGCTTCGTCCCATCCGCTTTTCCTTTCCACGAAGAGGTTTTTCCACGGAAAGATCCGCGCAAGACCTCTTTTATCTGACTCGCTTCCATCTCAGCTCGATCGATTTATACATATGGCCGTGGCCTTACCGCGAAAAATGAAAAACGACGAATTATCGAACTACAAAGGGTGCAATATCAATATACGTGTGTAGTGAAATGACAATATGCAATATAATATTTGTTGTGCAAATGTTCATACTGCAATATATACTGATAGCGCGGAATGTATACATAAAGTATGTGTGCAGATCTATATCCAAAACGCCACAAAACCACATTGTCAAAATATTGGTACTACGAAACAGTATTATAGGAGTAAAATATGGCAAGATAAATTTACTTTTAATGGCATCGTAATATATATTTATATATGACACGATGAAGTATAATTTATATTAATTGGAAGAGAGATCTCTTAAATATAATTTTTTTTTTAATTTCTTACAGATATTGCAACTGCAAATGAATGACTACAGATACCACTACATGTTCACAACCTTTGTAAGTACATCTTCATATTCAGTTTCGTCAAAGACAAAAGAAGAAAACATTTAAATGCATATTAAAATTATTCAGATTAAGCTTGTGTGCATAAAATCCTTAGCTAAAGCAAATTTTCTTATAATAACATTAAAATTATTTTTGTAATAAAAAGAATCCTATTTTCGGCCGAAACGTCCCGGAAAGTAAGGAGTTTCAGATTTAAATCCTTGCTGAGGCGATATTTTTTGCAATAATAAGTTCTTTGAAATGTCTAAAAAATGCTTATTAGCACCATTATTAAAATAGATGACCAATGTAATATGTTATTTCCAGCTTCAGTTTATGATTGCGTCCGATAAACCGAATCGAAGAGCAATTTGCAGAACTGAAAGATGTATTCATAAATTTGCATATGAATATTATTAAACACATTCGTTTCAATCGAAAATAAGATTCTTTCTTTTACTTGATCTATTTTTCTCAGTCTTTTTTCACTTATAAGATTATTCTATTTTTGCTCGGCAATATTGTTATAATATCAATTTAATAAAAATTTTAATCTCAATTGTTAATATCCTCTCAATAAAATAGACTCTCTCATATTCTAATATAAAAATACAAACTAAATTATTATGCTTTCTTTATATAATTTCATTATCAATTCAATTCTCATATTAATATAATCAGAATTACATTTAGGTTCGAAACTCGATTCAATCTGCGTTTAAATATTGAATTAATGTAATTTTAATAAGTAATTAATAAATCTTGCACATCTGTCGATTATAATGAAACATCAAGTTTAATTAAATGTATTACTATAGAATCATTGAACAGCTCATTGATTATGAGCTAAATGATCATAATGGCACTTGTATATTTTGAAGATTTATTTCACTCGACATGCCATTTATTGGGCATGTAATATAGCATAACATGTAAAAAAAAGTATCTCTTTTAGACGCATATGGGAATATTGTAGACGAGACTCTGTGTACCATTCATCATCTTCATAACCGGCATATTTCGCGCTCCTGTCGATCCCACTTCTCTTTGTACATTCCGTGCAGCTTATTATGTGTATTATCTCATATTCGTCCTAGAACATAGACAGTGGTAGGAATTAGACCTCCCACGGATGAGCAAGGCGGCGCATATATCATGTATTCCTCTGATGATCACAGAAAGCTCGTGTCGCCACGCGTTTCTCTCTTGGCCAGTACGCTCTTCTTTGACATATCACCTCCCAACCTTTTGAGTCGCACAAGCGAAATTCCAATCCGTCGTCTCATTCAGCGTAAATTTCTATCTTAAATGGAGCTAACAGCGCATACAAACCCCGCGGCTAGCCCAAGTATAATGTACAAACACAAGCTGCAGACTGTGTACATTCGCTGAAGGACGGAGAACTGTACATTCTTGCTTGATGCATTTGCACTCGTATGTGTATACACATGCATTCCGTACATGCATACACGCGTGATACATGTCTCGCAAATGTTCCCTTCGAATTTTGCGGTTCGTAACAACGGAGCAGTACACGGAACCGAATTCCTGTTAGATACTGTAATTTTTTCTACAAATATGTCAAGATTAATTAATGATTACAACGCATCCGACTGTGATGTTTACATCATAAAATGATTTCAGCAATATATTCGATTTAACTGACTTCCATTAATCAATTCTTAATTGCAGGAAATGGGCTAATTCGTACTACTAATAAATACAAACACGGGGGAGGGGGAGGAATGAACAACAAAATATTACCGTTGATACAACTGTTACATTCAGGCATTTAGTTAGTTTATTAGTCAGAGATCAATATATATATTAGCAACAAGATAATTATAGTACGGAAACTCATATCACGAACGCGTTTATCGTTAATCAAATATCGATTGTCCTATATTCCATTAGTAGGCAATAGCATGGGATATGTCATATATGTATGTTGAAAGATACGTATGTACATATGTATGCATCTAATTGTGAAACAATATTGCATACAGTAGAGTTATTTGCAGAGTTCATTTCTTGCGAGCAATTATTAGCGGTTAACAATTGCGTAGTGTAGGAATCCTAACTAATCTAATATCTTTTTATATTAGGTGTTGGAATTAATTCGTAGCGTTTTACAAGTGATGGGAAGTACTTTCATTAATGTATTTTTTAATGCTCATGTGAAATAAATAACATTCTTTCATTAAAAAACGCTACGAATTAATTCCAACACCTAATATAATATTTATATTGTAGAAATATTTAATAATATAATATTTATATTATAGATTTAAAATAGAATAAATATATAGGATATGTTAAAGAAACCATTTATATTGTAAATAATATATATCATACTGACAAGAGTAAAAAAATCTTAGTAAACAAAAATCGGAAACTCAACCGTGTTTAAGATAATATAAATAATTTTGTACATGTATAATAAAAATTCGTACTCTCATCTTGAAGCAAATAATAATCTATATATAGCAATTCATGAACGCGAGTTAATCAAATTTATTAAAATTGCAGATAGTTTAAGCTAAATGAAGCTACACAAAACAATATATACGTACTATACAAATGCTATAACAATTATAGAATAATGATAAAACATGATTGTTGAACTCAAAGAAACTTTGAAATATATTCTAATAAACAATCAATTAATTTAATGGAATAAAAAATACGCTCCGTTATGATCAAATAATTCAGTAAATATCCACTGCCACGTGCAATCTCGCAAAAAGGTTTAATGCACTCCTGGGATGCGAATCCCCCATTAGACTTGTACAAGGAGTGAGTACATCCGCGCGTTTCTAAATAAATCATTTTCAGAAGATGTTACGTAACTTTCTCGCAGCAGTAAATGGTACCGTGATTCAAGAGGTAGATCAGATACTTGGGATTGAAAATAACTCGGTACTTGTAATGTTATTTACCGTTACAGTTACTTTCTTGATAATAGATTAATAGCAATGTTACCTTCTTTTTTTTAATAACTGTAATGGTAGTTACATTTTTTTTGGTAACGGTAATGAATTTTACAATTACTTTTATCATTACTTTTTATATTTCAAATATTTATAACATAATTTTTGTATATTTAATCTTCAATCTTCAATTCATAATTTGTTCTTACATCAAGATCGTTTTAAGTAATTTAAGATGTTAATACGGTTCTATGATTGGTTTATAACATCTTAGAATGCCATAAACCAATCACAGAACAGCATAAGAATAACAAATTTCATGAATATCAATCAAATCGTTACTTTTTAAATAACAGTAATGTTAACTGGTTTTTTACTCGGTAACGAGTAAGGACAATTAGTTATTTTTAAAAATTAACTTTTCAATCCTTGTCGGATACACAGCGAGGTGGGATTAAAAAATGGGATTAAAAAAAAGAGTAACAGACATAAAATCAAAGGGACAAAAAAGAAACTGCTTAAGAACGAAGCTTTATCTGCCATGATCGACTATGTTATGCAGCTATGTAGTTGTCGGTGAATGACCCTATGGAGAAGTCGCGTTATTTACTTTAACGATCTACGTCGTAAACGCTGCAGCACCGTATAATTATAAATCATACCCTCTCGAGGCTTCCTAGGCAAGACTGGTTGAGATTGGTTACGCTATAACGATTGCAATTACGACGATGACGGAAATCGCTGGAACTGCCTCATTTTTCTTCAATTTAGTCGACTTGCCCCATAACTATGCCGCGAGCGGGAAAAAATTTATCCCAGTTACATTTTCTTAAATATCTCGTGTCCGGTCGAATTCCTTATCATTTAAAGATGGTGAATAAATTGATAGCTTTATGTATTTACAGAAGTTAAATTGATCTAGATATAAAACAAGAAATTCCTTTTTTACAATTTTTACAAAATATTACTAATAACTAGCACAGTGTGTTCGATATATACTTGAGATTAAAATTTAATTGTTATAAAATATCTATTACTTATTAATCTATTAAATCTAATTAATAGAAATTATTGATGTTAAAAATAATGTGTCATTAATTTTAACATAATTAACTGTGTATTTATTGAATTTTATTATATATTAACGCAACTTGTTGTCGAAAATTCAGTTAGTTAGCATTAAAATATAAAGATATTATAAAATATATTAAAGTTAAGTTTACGGATATACATTGAATTTAATTGGATAAAATAAACAAATCATTTTTCTACATTTATTTTTACAGGATATAGAAACGTTTGATCTAGAAGATTTCAAATATAATAGCGTGAACATGACGGCCTTTCGTTTAGTGGATCTCGAAGAGTCTAAAGTTGCTGAAATACTCAAGCAAATGGAACGTTTCCAACCAGCGATTGGACATGCCATTCTGAACAAAACGGGAGTCATTCAGGTTGGTGGAAATTTCAATGCAACAAAGAATTAAAATACTTTCTTCACTAACTTATTGTTATATTATTATAATATAATACAACGCGTTACAGAGATTTTTATAAAATTTTGAAAATAAACTCATTCGTAAAATTAAAAATAAAACATTATTCTCTCCAATCTGACATAAAATATACATTATTTAAAACAGACTTAAGATTCAAGTGAGTGCTACGGAATATTATTTAAGAGCATAATATTTCCAAGATTTGCAATAACAATTAATTGTGTGAGTACAAAATAGTAGATGAATTTATATGGTACAAACTAGCTTCGAACAAATATAGACTAAAAGCAAAGGGAATTGAAAAGTCGAATAGACCGAATTGGTCAGCAGAGCTCTGTCCAGTTCGAGCTTTGTCAGCCCTTCAGTAATTAAGTGAGTTTCGCTCGCGGCCAGCGCCGCAATGTCATTAATTCGGATCAATTGAGTGCACTAAGCACGGTTTTCTCTCAAGGACTTCGAAGATGGCCAACCATCTGCTGAAATAGCTAAGTTTACTTCCCAGAGTTTACTCCCCAGAGTTCCCTCCTTAATATATTAATATGAGAAAATCGATATATTTAAATTTGTTCCTTCGTAAATTTTTTTCTCACTAAAGCTGTTTCAAAATATTACCAAATTTTAAATTCAACAATTATTAAATTGAAAATATATCGATTTATAATTTTAAATTACAAAAAGCAAATTTTTGTATAATTTATTTTAAATAAGATCAGTGTTTCATATCGAATACATTTAATATTCTATCTTACAAGAACTTTGACTGTAAAATGAAACAGAATTTTTGATTTCTAACAAGTATGAATAATAATCGGCCAATCATTAAGCTACAGAATTAAAAATGAGTCTAATTAAAATTTAATCACAATTTAGCCCAATCTATATTTGCATCAGTAGGTGCTGGCAAAAGTTTTGTCCATGTAACAATTCGAAAGTTGAAACTAAAGTTTTTCGTTCAATTCACAAAACACAAACTCTCGTCAAAAGGAAACGTATGTTTCAGGCAGAACCAGCTTTGGTGTACGATAGCGTGCAGGTTTTCGCGCACGGTTTGGCAGCTCTCGACCGTAGTCACGATTTAAGACCAGCAAATCTGTCCTGTGAGAAAGAGGAACCATGGGACGACGGTTTATCACTCTACAACTATATTAATGCCGTACGTACGTTCTGTGAATTTTCAAGCGAGCCGTTAGGCAGACAACTAATGCTAGTGACGCAAGTTTTCATATGCAATTATTTCAGAGAAATATCTTAAATTCTTTTCTTTAGAAAAGAGAGAGAGAGAGAGAAAACATGTAATAAAATAATTGAAAATTTTACTGCAGATACACAAAATCTATTTATTGAAAAATAATGGACTTTTGTGTTATACTTCGCTTAATGAAATGTAGTTTCTCCTACCAACTTGGCTATAGTTAATACTTTTAATTTATACAAAAAATTAAAGGTAAAAATATATATTATAAGTTTGTAAAGAAAATCTTAATCTAAATATCAACTGAAAATTTTATCATAAATAAAATGGACTTATTAATATAAAATTACTAATAACTACTTATTAATATTTAAATTAATATTTCAAACAGCATCAATATTACTAAAAAAATTTTGAATTCAATTTTTAACGTTAATAATCCGCAAACAAAACAGCAAAATAATCGATCATGATGTGCTATGCACATAGTTGCATAGTCTTTATATTTTGATATTTTTGAAGATAAATACGGAAATTCCGAATTATTTTCCACGTTATTTGATTTCAATCCGAAATGTATAAACAACAAATATTTATTCGAGTCTTCTTTTTAATCAAAATTATATATATAATTGATAATAGCCAAATTTGCATTATCAAAGAAAAAAATATATTTTTCTCAAAATTTTTACATTAAGTCAAGTACAATGTATTGCATGGTTAGAATAATTAAACGAAAACATGCATTGCAAGCTTTAAAGGTAGTGTTGTTTTACGCAAGAAAAATATTTCTAATCCTTTCAAAAATAGAGAACGATGAATTAAATCTTTTAATTGCACAGCTATTTTTACTAACTGCGAGTCACTGAATAATTGTAGCAAAAGTAAAAAAGGAATATACATAATATAATAATACAATTTTATAATGAAATTTTATAATTTTAAGAGTTGTAATTCAACCTATAAATAGTTAAAATTTGTTAATTTGTTAGTTTAAAAAATTCAATTTAATTTATTAATTATTAATTTATTACTTCTTATTAAATTTTATCTTACAGATTTCTAATTAATGTTAATGTTAAAAAAGTTTACAAGGATATACTGATTTCTTAGTAAAATGCTTTTTCAAGAGTTTCATCAAATATCTTTTTTTTCTGTCACAGATTGATTGACTAAACGTGACTTAACGCTCTAAAGTAATTTAAACTCTACTTACATATATGCAGTACTTAAGGAACTATTAAAGCTACTTATACTCCATTTTGCTTTTAAGATCTCTTTAAGCTTTTAAAATTCAATAATAATCTTTTGGCTCACAAATGACAAAAATTCATAATTCATAAAAATCTAAAGATGCAGAAATAAACGTAATATTTACACAATATTTACACGAATAAAACAAGTCTCTTTCTTATAATTTACAAATTTAAAGAATTATAGTCCAGCCAAAGTATTAAAATACACGTGTTAAAGTTCAAAATTGCCACACATCTTTTATTACAACATCACGGAAAGTTACGATTCACTGAGACGAAAGGAAACAATAAAAAATTGCTACTATCTTGATGATCGAGAATTGCTCTTCGTTGCCTCTCAGAGATTCGTAGTCGTCCAGTGATAAACCGCAAACATATATGCAGAAGGCAATGGAAGGAAAGCAACGTTGACACATGAATAATTGAACAACGTATTTAGCAAATAGCTACGTCCCGAAAGCCTCACCTCGGGGCTTTCTCCTCCTTTAGCCACTATGGTTGCGCTTTCCATGCATGGCGACCATCCCGAATGCACGACCGCGTCATACGAGAGACACGTACGTAAACTCGCGCGTACGTGCTGCCCATGACTTAGATCCAGCGTGTAACACTAAGTTTTATTACCCGAGTGCTACCGACACAGGACTTCCCTATTAGATGCGACAATGACAAATTAAGCAGAGCTTAAAGCTTCGTATCTGAATATTTTCTTATCAGTCGAGAAATTCTTAAATTTTTTGGAATATTATATCAGCGAATAAAAAATCCAGACGTTATGCATAAATTAAAAATCTGGACAAAGAGGGATCTCTCTTTATATTTGCAGAGATTTATTTGAAATTCGTAAATTGGAATATTACAAGATACGAGACTTTTAAATCTTTAAACAAGAAAGTCCTTGAACTTTTACGGTGAAGTGATTGTTGAGGGAAAGCAGAAATCGCGTTTTGATAGTGATGCAGGGAGGAAAAGCGATTCAATACTACTCTTTATTCAATTAAAAGTAAATAAAGATTACTTGGCTTAATTAAACTAAAACGGAATTGAAACGTTGATTTTCCACCGTATTGTCCATATTGCTTTCATTAAAAGATCTACAAAAAGCTGTTATAGGTACTAAAGCGTGCCAATGTAGATATCTTTCCCAACATTGATGTGATTATTTTTTTTATTAAGACTAAAATTCTATGGTATACTTATAATAAGAAACTTTTCTCTATTAAAAATATATGTGTACACCTTCAATTATATTATAAACTTTATAAAATGATATTATAGTTTACTGTGTAACGGCGAGGGCTGAACCGAGAAGATAATTCAACCACTAATTGAAATGTTGTCCCACAGATTACATGATTTTATTTGATTTCATATCATTTCATCTGATTACAAATAATTTTTTTTCACGCATATGAAGTCATTTGATAAAATATACGATTTTATTTAATATTATACACAATGACTTCTCGTGATTGCATATGTAATTATCAGATTATACATAAAGATTTTATATGAATTTTATAATTATTTTCACAAGGACTGTGTCTCATGATTACATTAAGTAATTATCCCCTCGGACCAAACTAATGGACATCATGGAAAATAAACATCCTCCTTTCCGATAAATGATAGAAATATATAATAAATAATGCTTGCCATATTGCGAAATTATTTTCAAAAAGACTGATATCTCTTTCACAGCTATCTGCTTATACAATAATGCGTAAACAACATTAACTCAAGTACAAAGTACATAGCAACCGTAACATTTTGATGAAAAGATGTAATAAACTACAAAAGCATTTTCATTAATATTATATTATTGAATGTATTATGTAAAATATATATAATATTTATTACGTAAAATAATAGAATTAAGAGTATTAATAAAATCACAATAATTTTAAATATCTTTTCGAGAAAATTATTAAATTTTCTTTTTAATCTGGTATTATCTTTCGCAGAGTGTTTTACAAACGATATTACGTTTAACGTATCAATATAAATCCGATATTTTAAGTTCATAACATCGAGTTTTAAAAAACAGTTGCATTATCGGAATGGGAAGCATAACGATGCGCACCGTTTCATGTGTCACAGAAATTTATATAAGTTTACACAAAGACGGCTTCTAATTGTGTTGTAAATAATTCCTGTAACATTTTTTCTTACGCGGTATTATAAAGTTTCCCTTTTTCTATGATGGCAAAGAAAATTAAAAGTTTGTAGAAAAGTCCAGGAATCTCCGGAATAATCGAAAACGTGCGAAAATGAAAGAAGGCTACATCGATAAGTCGTGACAATTTTTCAAAATTTTGTCGCTATACAGTCACAGATTTTTAGCAGTATATCTTCGACAATTGTCAGCGACAAGGAAACGTGTGATATATGGCGATATAAACTGTATCTTGAGTATCGTTTAGTCTCTTACTATCTTTTTATTATCTGGATGCACTGCGTTTCGGTTAAGACGTACAATGTTATCAGGCAATAAAAATAGGTTCAAAATAAAAGAAAAAGAAGAAAAAAGAAAAAAAGAGAAAAAGAACTTTGCCATAGAAATTATGAAAGTTCCTGGTAAGTTTGCTTACTCTATTCCTTTCACGTAGTATCTACTTGTTCGTAAATATCAACGCGTTCTCGTCTCGTGGCTGGGGTACTTTCCGAAACGTCGCTGCACCGTATCGGTTATCGACGTTCCTTTCATGTTAAATCCGAAATAAATAGCGTGCTGCGAAGAGATAGTATATACCGTGCGCGACTACACTATCGCGGTTACATTCCGCGTATGCATTTAAATCCTGTGCGACGGTAAACTGGCAGCTTCCGACGTGACCATATCCTATTAACGAAATAATCGTGTCCGCCATTTCTGCCGTTCTGTGAATAAACTGTGTAAATAAATGAGCGATCTGGTAAATTATCAATGCGAACGTATTTCTAGGTAATGTTGAGCGGATAATGACTAGCTTAACATTTTAAGCCAGTATTACCATCATAGTATTTAAACAGGAAACCGTTTAATAATTTTATTACAAAAAAATTAACTGTCGATTTAAATTTTTTATCACCAACATTCTTTTTCCATGTAACATATATTATATACATGCACACACACACACACACACGTTTATTTATACATCATGTGACTGTAATATAATTTTAGTTTTCCGTAAAATGTAATAATATATGTGTATGATATTAATTATTTTATAATTCTGACAAATTTCACATATTAATTTACGCTTAAAAATCTTCCCAAACCTTACATCGTTTAAGCAACTTGAGCTGAGTACTGAAAGGTAAAACTCGCTATAAAAGCGGCAAGATTAATGTACCTCCGCAAGTATAGGCGGTTTTTGCAGCTTTGCCTATTCAGATACACTTCTATTTCCACACTCTAAAGGTGTGGAAACATGTATGAGAACACAAGGGAAGCAAATGTGCGTGAATAAGAAACAATTGATTTATCCAAAGTATAAAATAATTAATCAGCCGCAATTAAATTTTTTTCTACGTTTTACATATTTTTAAAAACATATATTTACATATTTTAACATATTTTAGCTAACAAATAGATTTTAATCTAATAACAATTAAAATATGCATAAGTTTACTAAAATATACGTAAAATGTAGAAAAATTCTAAATAAGTAAAATATATTTATTAAAACAAAAAAATATTGTTTATTTTTTACAAATGTATTGCGTAAAAAGTAATAATACGTCATGCGTTTTATTCTGTTTTAATTAAAATTATCAACGTACGTTACTAAACAATATTTAAATTATTTAATAATGGCCATGTAAAATTCAGAAGTTTAATTCAATTTTGTATACATATTCAATTTTAAATTCTATTAAAATTTATGTCGTTCTCCAATTTAAAATACATATAAAAGTGCTGAATTAATTATTATAAATTATGTAAAACTTACCCTCTTGACTATTTATTCTACAGGTTTAAATAATTTATCGAAATTCAATATTCTTATGATAAAACAAAATTATAATTAACAGCCAAGTGCAATATATGTGTTTAATATTACGCGTGCTGTAAAAATAACTATCATAGAAATGCTCTTTATTTCAATGTAACAATGATAATAACAATGTCTTATTTCTAATATGTTTTGATATCAACTGGACGTAGAAACAACGCAACTTCGTTACTGAACGCTAGCAAATGGATTTATGTGTGCTGACGACGGGAATACAATTCACCATCGTGTACCCACATGAATGCAAGTTAGCGAGGAATGCTAGTACTAGTTTTCATAGACAAATACTGTACAACTACATAACATGAAATACAGTAATTTTGGCGAAGTATAAGACAGCAATTAAGAATCCCGATTTGCAAAGAAATACATAATAATTATACTCCTCTAAAATAAAAATAAGATGTAATCTGTTAAATTTTTGTCTATATTACTCATTTATTTTTTATTGATGTTATTAAACGTTACTTATATTAAGTAATAAAATATAGATATACCTATATTTCATTCATCAATATTTTATATTTATATATACATATACACACACACACACATATATATATATATATATTAGGTGTTGGAATTAATTCGTAGCGTTTTACAAGTGATGGGAAGTACTTTCATTAATGTATTTTTTAATGCTCATGTGAAATAAATAACATTCTTTCATTAAAAACGCTACGAATTAATTCCAACACCTAATATATATATATATATATAAAACAATTCAAGCAACCGCAGCAACTTCCCCTACACTATTTTTACAAAATTTTATTTTGTAAACAATCCGGATATTCCGTATCAATCCTTTACAAATGATAGTTTCGCGTTTTATTACCTTTTTTTTTAAACTATTCGTACATAGCGACATGCTTCCGCAAAATATCCTGAGCTGCGTTTTCTGTTGTGTACAATGTACGCGTGTGTAATGGTTTTACACGCGTGATGCATCGACGCACGCATAGCGTAATTAACGTGCGTATTCGTCGGATGGAGAGCACGTCGAGTACCGAAAATACATGTGGCGGTGCCCAGGTTACTTCCGGCGCGCTTACCATTTGTTTCGCGAACATCGGCGTATTTTTGATTTTGCGAACCGGCTCGTCGATGTCGACTGACGAGATATCACGACGGAGATTTATTGATCAGCGTACGATTCGCAATATCGCTGCTGACAGCCCGATAAAAATCCTGACCGTAGAATCACTGCTAAAATTCTCGCGTCAGCTGTCGGGTTGATGAAAGAAGATTTCTTTTTTCCGAAATAATTTGACAATACGTTTCATGGAATCATAAAGGTTGTAAAAATACGTTGGAGATAACTACCTCAAGCACGGACGAGTGAAAACCATTGTATTTTTGTACATGCACCGGCTTTTACCAAATCGTGTTAACAACTGCGCCAAATTTGTAAAACTTTGTAACTCGATTTAAAAGCTTTTTTCTTGGCTAAGATAATTCAAATAATGTAATAACTTTTCACAGTTATAGTGATTTTCATGGACCGTTAATAACATATTTATGTTTAAAAAATAGAAAAATTATATATGTATATATTTGTTAAAATTTTTCAGTAACAGTCTTTTTTATCTGTGAGGTCTCTCAAAAAAAATATAAAAATCTGTATATAACAATTAAATTTTCCTTTAATGGAATTAAATTTTCCTTTTTTAAGGAATTTATTCTTATTGTGTAGTGGATTGAGCAATATGAACGAGATATTCATATAAAAATCCGTTCGAATAATCCGTTCTTTTAATGTAGATGAGATATCGATCATTTTAATATAATAAACTCACTCGCATTCCACACAGTTATCATTTCCGATTAAATTCATATTACAAATAGAATGAAACACGAGATGCGTCCACAAAGTTATATGAGCATGCATCAGGCTTCGATATTCAAATATTCATGCATTAAAAAGACAACGAACAATAATATTTTATTAAATAATATCATGAGAATACTAAGTTGAGAATACTGTTAATTATATTGAGTATACTGTTGATTAATAATGTAATAAAAATATTTACATAAAAATTCAAAAATTATACAGATACTAAGATAAATTTTGTGTATTTGTGACTATAGATAATTATATATTACTATCATTACGTTTATTACTGCTATAATTAATGTTAATCGATTCCAGCTATATGTATACATATATTTGTTGATAGTGTATATTTTATTTTATACAGTTGTTACTATTGTTATAACAATAATAACTATAATTATGATTAAACACAAATATCAAAAAATTTTTCTTTCAATGTAGGATTTATCTTACTGTACTGATAGAATAAGTGATCAAGTTTAAAAAGAAGCACATTTTGGATGAATATTCTATCAACTCGACAAACTAACATATACTGAAAAAGGAAAAAGATAAATCAAATAAACTATGCGCAAACCGCCGGTAGACTGCAAACGGTAATTAATGCGAAAAATTTCGCCAACTGTATGCACCGGAAATGTAGGCCGTCAGCAATGAATCGTGTATACGTGTGTGCGTGTCTGTGAGCTACTGGACACGGAGGAAAAATAAATTTAATCAGAATCAGACGCGCACATGATTTAACGAATAGTAAATCCGGCTGTTCGTTATTAAACAGTTATGAGTATAATGTTGCGTATAAAAGTTTTATTATTTTTCGATGTTCGTATTTTATTTAATGATAATTTGGATGGTAATATTTAATTTCGTAACGTTTAGCATATTAAAATTTGACTTCGAAATATTGTTATCTTCTTCATGAGAGACCACTATTTACCATAAAAGTGCAATTTTTCTCACATCCTATCTATTTTTAAATAGTAGAGATACAAAGTTTTGAAGAATTATACGAGCTACATACATTATCATAAAAATAAAAAATCCTTAAAAATAAAAAATTAACCGCTACATTTTTGCTCTATGGAGAGAAGTTTAAATGATACTTCTGCAGTAATTAAAAATATTAATAGTAACACATTTGTAATACATAAAATGAAGGATGTCAATCATTTATTACTTATTACAACAAACTAATGAATAAACCTAATCGACACGGATTTAGATTTATACGAGTGTTTCTGTTGCAGGCAGGCTTACATGGATTAACCGGACATATTGAATTTAATGAAGGAAAGAGAAACAATTTCAAGTTGGATCTCTTAAAACTAAAAAAAGAGGAGCTTGTTAAAGTCGGCGAGTGGAAATCCGGGTCTGGTATTAATGTCACGGATCTAGACGCCTTTTACGAGACCACGACGACCAACATTACGCTCGTGGTGATGACGAGAGAGGTAATGATACCTTGTATCCAATTTAGTCACGTTTGCGACCTCGTAGCGTTAGAATTAATCATTAAGCAGGATACTGCAAGTGTATGGATCGTATGGAGCTATGAAAGCAGCTCTAAATGGGGTCGGGTAAGTTTGTTATGCCGCGTAGAGATAGTGTCCACACATTTAAGCCACATAGCATCTTCAATATGTACTTATAAATAATATCTAACAATTTATGAGTCACAAAAGTATGTTAAATTACTCGGTATGTTCATATTAAATTGATCTTAAAATAATGAGACAAATAATACCATATATAGAAATTAGAAAACTTGATTTCTAAACTCTCGTTTCTATCTTTATCATTATGTTAAATATTCAAATACGTAATTTGATTCATTACTATCTTATCGTTTCGTAAGGAAAAAATATAATGTAACGTAACGTAACGTTTTCGTAAGGAAAAAAATTCAGAGACGCTTTAGAAAGAATATTAAAAAGAAAAAATAGCAGAATCGCGAATTGTCATATTAAGGAAAAATCTTGGTTGAAGGAACGTTTTATCGGTGTTATTGTGTATTCTCGGAAAAATAAAAAATTCATGTCTGTGTTGCAAAAAGGAAATATTTGAGGGGCAAGCGATCAAAATGCTATATATTTGCATGGAACGGCGGCTTCTTTCCCACCTTTTTTTTTTTATATAACCATCTCACGCGGAAATAAGAATTTTTAAGGATTTGCCTTTGCCTTTCCCCTGTCACGATGAGCACAATTCTACGATCTATCAATGGGATCCAATCTTCCACAGGAAAGACCCTACGTCATGGTAAAAGAAAATAAGAATTTGACTGGTAACGCGAGGTTCGAAGGCTTCTGCATCGATTTGCTCAAGTCGATCGCCAACCAAGTCGGTTTCCAATATGCAATCAAATTGGTGCCCGATCACATGTATGGAGTGTACGATCCCGAGACGAAAGAGTGGAACGGAATCGTGCGTGAACTAATGGATAAGGTAAGACAGAGTACACAGACTGTGTTTTCCTTCAATAATTTGCACGATGACAACATTATAAGAAATAAAATAAACGTTATACGATAAATGAGATAACTTGGTATTAACATGCGCTAAATTAAAATTAAAAAATTGAATTATCAACAACATGTTGCGCGAATCGGGAAAAAATTTAATGAATATCACGAGATAAAAAGTAATTAAGATGTAAATTAATTAAACATCTGCATTTCTATATTATTGTGAATCTGATATAGTATCTCATAAATTATTTTAAATAATAGAAACAACGAATAATCGTATAATAAGTAGTAAACCTCATTTTTCAAATTATTATTAATTTAAAAAATATGATTATTGTATTAATGAAAATATGAACATAATATTAAATATTATTTTCTTTATCGAAACTAATTTCGATTGCAATGTGTTAATAATGTTGTTGAAATTGCACAAACATAGTATATTAGGAGAAATATCGAGGTAGACGAGAATGGGTATACGCGACCCAAGAGGCCGATTTTATATGCAAAGCAAAGTAAATTTCCGCAGACGTGTCGCAATAAATCCATCCCACGAGGAATTTCATTACGCTTGTAGTCGGATACAAGAATCATCTGGATTAACTATTTTTTCCATGAGCAAACGACAATATTTAATATTTCGATTCATAGATCAGCTCGCAGATGTTGCACTTTGTCATTTGAATTGTAAAATTGTGCAGTTATTAAAGTCAAAGTTTTATACATGCACTTCCGAGCATCTTTCGAATTTAATCTGTGCCGCCAATCCATTATTGTCTGCATGATCGAGTAGGCGCATACGCAATGTTCGCATAATTTTCAATTTACACAGTAAATTGAAATTTACTGTTAATTGTTACAATATCACAATTATTAAATTGAAACGTGATATACATATAAATCTGCAAATTAACACTGCGTCAATATTTCAGCAGGTGTACGCTTCATTTTTAATCAGTTAGAAAAGATTTCAGTTAAAAAAAAATGTTTTACATGTATTATATAATTAAACTTCATTCGAAGTTTGATTCCACTGGGACAATGAGATGCCTACAAATGAAATGCCTACAAAAATGCAAATTTGCAATCGAATTCTCAATACAAGACATACAAATATTTATTTAATAATATTTATGTTTTCAAAATATTATTAACTTCACATTATTTAATAAACATCTACATTATAAAAATTTACCATTAATATTTGCAGATAATGTAACTTAATACATCAAAATTTATGAAACCCTCATTTATTGATTATTTTATAATCAATAATATATATACATAAAAAAATAAAACTACTAATCATTATTTTATTCATTTTTCTGTTGTTCCAATTTTTTATTACTTATTTTTAACTTCCTGTATTAACAAAAAATCTATTAATAATTAAAATAAAACATTTAGAACAAAAAATCTTTAAACTTTTTCTAATATCAACAATTTCTCTTTAAATTTTGATTAAAATTCTGACTTTTCTGCGCTTGTATATATCCAGAGTAAGGTAAATATTGTCTTTCCGTTACTAGGGGAGAAGTAGTTCTCCACTCGTACTGTTTCCTGTTTCCTCGCGATCGCATCTATGTAGCCGATATTAACAGGAAGAGAAAATACATGTTCACTCGCGAATTTTTAAGGAAAAATGGAAATATTATCCCGTAAACATTAATGCATTAGAAAGCAGAAATTGAAAAAAAGAATACTTATAGAACTTGAAATTTTATCGAAACAAAATGAAAGCACCAGAGCGCGATATATAAAACAGACTTATGCATATTTAAAAACAAAATCGTATATTATTCGTGGAAAAGTCGCACATATAGTTACTATGCAAAAATATTATTGATAAGAGTAAATCTGAATCGAGTTTTGTGGTTCTAAAAATACTGACAATTTTTGACGATAGTACAATTCAAGTATTGATATATTGATATGTATATATATACAATATATTATATTAAAAAAGAATCATTAGCAGCCAAATAAAAAATTAATATCTGCAATGATATTTTAATCATGGACAAAGTAAATGGATATACCGTTTCCCAAAGCATATTAATTTTTATACGAATAATTATTTTATTTTATACATATATTATTATTACTGCGCATATGCAGTTAGCTGAATTGATTTTATCGCACGCATGTAACAAGCGTCTCTCTCTGAGATAATGTTTTGTTTTTACTCAATAGATAATTCAAGCATTTGTTGCTGATAATATCACATACATATTGCATATACATTTACACGATTGCTAAAAGCTTTTGACATTCTACAACCAATTTTAGTGACTGTGATATATAAACTATTTAGCCTTTGATATAAATATATCTATATATTCTGCAACATTTTGTTATGCATAAGAAATGTAAAGTATAAAGTAATAAAGATATTTCTATTTCAAATATAAATACATTCTAATTGTTTGCTAATTATATTCTATCATTTTATAAATATTGTATATTATTAATATATTAACAACCTCGGAGACTCATATAATTTACTTACTTTTTATTTATTGGAGCTATAAAACTTTTTATTTTAATATTTTTACATATATTAATCATTTCTTTAGCAACTAAAAATTTTTTTTTATTTATATCGCATTTAAAAGCATAATAAGGAAAAAAGAAGCGAGGAAAAAAAAATAATTTAATATAGGACTTTAGTTTTCTCGAAAATTAATCATTACAATATATCGTGAAAAAACCATAATTGTTATTAAAAATTATTATTAAAAATTTGCTAGCGTTAATTTAAAACATGAGATGCAAAGAGACGGAGAAAACATGCACAAAGTTCGCAATAGTCGTTTCAGCGTACTCTCTGAATACCGAAGATCAGCAGTTTATAAAACATGCAAAGCAATTTGCTTCTTGTGAAAAGGGACGATGCCTTAACCTGGAAACCTACGAAACCGTAGGTGGATATTCTAAGGTCAAGAGGATGACATAAATGATGTCTCATAGTCCGCAACGCTCGCACGTTCGTAAAGAATTCATGCACGATTTCGCAGAGTAAACGAAAACTTATCAGTAATTTTTATTCCTCTCATTCACGATACATTTATGTGTTAAGAAATACATTTGCTTGATGTAAATGTTACGCGATACGTATTAATTATTTTTATCTGTTTAAGAGAAAGCATTCTATGAAATGTGAACGGGAAATATTTCTTTAATAAAAGTTCTTTGTGTGATTATTAATTCCTACTGTCTTTCATGATGTTATAAGCATCTCTATTTTTATATGACTTCGACTTCAACTTTATCAAAGAAATTGAATTCTCTTAACTCTGTTGAGTACTTAATTCTTTCAGAGAGCGGATCTGGCAGTTGCTTCCATGACGATTAATTATGCTAGAGAAAGCGTAATAGACTTCACAAAGCCGTTTATGAATCTCGGAATTGGAATTTTATTTAAGGTGAGTTAACACCGTGCTGTCGATTTCTTTTAAAATTACATTTGTATGCGACATAATGTTAATATTTTATTATCCCTCCATCAAAGTACGTATTTATGTCTCTAATATTTAATTCTTGATTATATTTCAGAATATGCATATTGCATTAGCATATTAACAAAAGTGATTTTCATACGAGCACGTTATTATACTAAATAATGAGAGAAACACAATAGATACGTTAATTATTCTACGATAATATCAGTCACAAATACGCAAGACGTATTTATGTATTATAATTCAAGGAGATTTTAATTCGTTTAATTAAATATGAGAAATACGAGAAATTAATTTATCAAATAATCTGCATGTCTCACAAATTCTCTTTCTTCAACGTGCACGCGCGAAAAGAGCCTTTGAATATCCTGGATTGCCGTAAAAGTTGACTCGGCCTGCAGCGCCGCGCCGTACCGTGCCGCGTCGCGTCGCGTCGCGTCGCGTCGCACCACGAAACGAGATCCGTTTTAATTAAAATCGTAGCGTGACGTAATTTAGGTGCCGTCCAGTCAGCCGACACGGCTTTTCTCCTTCATGAATCCGCTGGCGGTCGAGATCTGGCTCTACGTGCTCGCCGCCTACATGTTAGTGAGCTTCACCCTCTTCGTGATGGCACGCTTCAGCCCGTACGAGTGGAACAATCCGCATCCGTGTGTGGCCGAGAGCGACGTGGTAGAGAACCAGTTTACCGTCAGCAACAGTTTCTGGTTCATCACCGGTACCTTCCTCAGACAGGGCAGCGGGCTCAACCCTAAGGTACACTCAACGAGGTGCTCCACCACTTGGACTACTTCTACCATTTTCCTTCGCGTACTCACCGCTCGCACCGTCGGGACATCCTTCATCCGACATGCCCGCCCGTTTCTCTCACGTTCACCGCCCCCGAACGCTGCACAGTACCCGTTCACGAGGCGCACATAAATCCATCATCTCGCTAGAGTGCAAACAGTAGATGTCTGTTTGCAGGGCACACGTCAATTCGTTTATATCTGTTTATGTTGCGAGTCATATATTTGCAATATTACAGGGATGCTCACTGCGAGTAAAATAATCTGCGAGCAAATCTTGGAGCGATATTGTTACTATATCGTAAAATCTTTTATCTGCTTTTAAAGCATTTATCGCATCTCCCCCCTTTTCCATTTCGTTTTCAGAGCTAAAGCTCATAATGCATTATTCTAATTTGCATTAATCATTGAAGAAAGAATATACAATCAATCTTCTGTATATAATCAAAGATTAACATGAAGATAGAGATTAACATTTTCAAAGTAAATTATTTAGAATACGCTACCTGATTACATTTTTATCAATGGACTATGCGTCTTACAATCCAATCTCAATTACTTCCTGCGACGTTAGCGATCCCTCGTTAAAAAATAAAGAAGCACATACGGCGATTGCACTCAGAGTGCACCGCCATTGTGTTCTGCTCGACGCGCGCCGCGGAGAATAATACGCTTCCGTAATTCCGTCGAAATAAAGAATCGTCTTTCGACGTTGAGAGACTGAATGTTGTGCAAGGAAGCGATGCGAGAGTTATATCTCGCGTCTTCAAATTATTTTTCAGCAAGGAACGCGATATGATGGTTGGACATGAAGAATGCACTGTTGCATTCATGAAGTTACATCTTATCTTCGATATCGTATCAGGTCGATCAGATCAATTCTCGAAGATTAGTAACAACAAACGTCAATGCTTCAGGTAACCAAACGCACGCCACCGCGGCTCTTCTCGTTCATGACTCCCCTCGCCATGGAGATCTGGTTGTTCTTGCTAGGCGCTTACGTGGTGGTGTCCTTAACGATATGGATAGTGGCAAGATTCTCGCCCTTCGAGTGGGTGGAGCCGTCTCCCTGTCCAAGCTGCAAATGTCCTTTGCAGGTAGGCTCACGTCGAGTGGTGCGATCGATGGACTGTATTTAAATTACAAAATGCAGAGTGCTTTTTTAAATATTATGTAATTTTATATTTTAATTAAAATAAAATAGGTATCTACTATTCTTCAATCATTTAAAAAATTGTTACTTTAAGTGTTTCATAATACTTTTCATATAATTTTGTAACAAAGCTTATTTTTTATTTGTATTTCCTGAGTTCATATTACAAGATATATAAATATTAGATAAAGAAAGAACAATTAATTAATATGAATGTGAAATTACATATGTTTTAATGTAGCATTCTTCGTTAATAACGCAAGAAAACAGATATTTTGTAAAAAAGAAAAACTGTATTTCTTAAAGAAAATACTGTTTACTAAAAAAAAAAAAATTCAGAGTTATTCCACATCTATATTTTCAGTCCTTCATAACATTATCCATGTCTGCATAGTGTAGAAAAAAAAATATTAAAAAATATACAATGCATGTAAGAAGTATAAGTTAAGTAGAATTAGTATAATTATTTTTAAAACTGCACCACTCGACGGGGGGCTCATCACATTGTCACCAGGGCAGTCACGTGAGCGCCTTGGATCCGGACAGCGACGACATTCCTCTACTGAGAACTGTCAACGAGTTCAGCCTGGCCAACAGTTTTTGGTTTACAGTCGGCACACTTATGCAACAGGGCAGCGACCTCAACCCTAAGGTAAACGTGCCACCACGGAGTCAAACGCGTCTCAAGAAACATTCCTTTTTTTTATTAACATATGTGCATTTATGAATATTCTTAGCAGAACTTGTTGGATTTCTAGAAATTCATATTAAAAATACTTACTTCAACGACTAACTTTTACTGCACTAATTAAAAAAGACCGTATGATTAAAAAGCGTAATATACTTTAAACACTCGTTTAAAATTTTTACGGCGATAAAACATTCACTTAAGCAGAACATTAGCAAAATCAGAAAATGGTAATTACTTTACCGCGACTCACGTAAATTTCGAATCGAAAAGTAAAATAGGTAATTTTTCTATACTGTAATGTTCTGAATGTTGATTCAGAAATTTTTACAACAATTTATAGGAATTTTCTTTTTATGAAATAATTTTTATCTGTAAATATTCATTTGACGCATTAAAAAATTATAGCTTGAAAAATTTAATGCAAATATTTAACGTTGATAATAAATATAAATATTTAACGAGGTAAAAGATACAAAGTTTGTCAAGAGTACACATAATAATGCCACATACTTTTCTATAAAATATTTAATCTATTCAAAATACACATATATAACACACATATTTAATATAAATATTTATATTTAATTCATGTTTAATAAATATATTATAAAGTAGTAAATAATTATTACCATCTACATTTTTTCTGCGAGTTAATGTTCTTATTTCTTTCTATATACAGTATATAATATACATACATACACATATATATATATACACACACATACACACACACACACACACACACACGTATATATAATTACAACGCCACAACCTTCCATTCGCATTATCGGTCCATTTTTTTCGCATCTATACTTAACCCGCGCAAGTCAATTCTACTGAAAGCAGTTTTCTTCTTTTTAGCCATCACATATATACGTACGCTTGGAAATTACTCGCTGTAGTTCAGTTATGTACTAAGTATGCCCCGAACAGGGAGAGAACTTTATTAGATTTGGGAATATTTTGCGGAAAATAAAAAATATACGACCTAAATAATAAAGCTAAGAGAAATTTGTTCTGATATCTCAAAGAACCCGTATTTTATATTTTCTTAGAAGTAAACTTTCCATCATTACAAAATTACTATTAATTCCAAATATCTTACTTTAATTTAGAAAATTACGTGAGTGAAAAATTGAAACTGATCTATACCTTATTGTTAGTGTGTGATAAAAAGAATATGTACATTATTAATTTTTGCTTTTAAAAAATTCTTGCTTTTGCAAAAATAAGTTTTAATAAAAACATTTTATGTCCGTTTTATAAATATGCTGTCGTATTTTACGCGTATAAAATGTAGCAAATCTCACTTAAATTTTTAAGTGGTTTTACTTGCATAAAACGCGAAATTCAACGTGTACTCCACGAAAAACAAATAAATGTCAGATGCACAAAGGCACCATATAAGTACGCTATACGTAACAATTATGGAAGATAAATAGCATCGAATTTAAAACTAAGAGAGACTTTAAATACATGAAATGCATATAGCAATCACAATAAATTTACTATTTTTACAAAACAGCAATATAAAAAAGCATATTAATTTTAGCAAAAGAAATAACTACATTTCGCGTAATGATAAATACACAGATTATAATTAGGTACCCTTAATAAGATATTATGTAACGTACATCTTTCATAAATTATAACAATATTATAGCGTATTTTAGATGTTAAAAATTAACTGTTAAATAATCTATATAAAATTTGTCTATTCAGCAACAAAATTGAACAACTCTCACAAACGATACGAACATAATATATTTATATAAATTTCAATAGTTTTGGTTAATTTTCGTGGTGTTCCTCAAATGTCACGAATTTTTTAATAACTTTATCGTATCAACAAAATAAAAATTTACAAAAAACACTATTCCTTTTATTTATACTATTTTAGATAGAAATTGATCTCTTTTTAACACTTTTCTCCTTTTCAACTGATAAATATTTCACAATTACTAGTTTAAAATAAAAACACTAATATAAATTGGAAAAATTAATCATAAATAACAAACAAAATGAAAGCACTGTATTGGCCTAAGTATATGAATTCTATATAATATCTTTAGTCAACTTTGATCTTTATAATTCAAATACTATTATAATCATTATTTTATCTTTTAATTTTATTAATATCCAGAATGCGTTATTAAAGTAATACATGCTGGTTATAAGATATCTCTTATAAAAAATTATAATATTCTTCGTTTTCATATAAATCTGCTCCAAGAAATTTTTTCAATATTTGATTTTTTACTTCCACTGCGTATAATACGATGGGAATGGAATGAAGAATGTCAGCGGTGCAGAATAGTGCGCAATTGGTTTCTAGTTGTCGAATAATACGTGCAATATTGTATAGAGTTCCGTCAATCGCGAGAAAAGTATCCGCGAGATATGAACTCGGGACGGCACCGGCATTGCTATTGTGGACAATGGAAGCATTCGGAGGGAAAGAAACTACGTCATTATTCACGCCATACTTTTCTTTTTTGCCGTACTTACAAAGATTAAAAAAAAATGGAGCTTGCTCAAGTAAAGCTTTTTTCTTAAAATTTTATCTTATTTTACTTGCAACACAATTATTAGTTGCATTGTGTAAATATTTAAAAATCTGTTAAATAATATAATTTATCACGTTATATAATAATCAAATATGTGTTAACAAATTATTAATTCCAAAGATAATAAATTAATAAATACAACCTTTACAAGCAAATGAATTATTAAATAAATATTGATTGTATTCAAGCTTAGATTTTCGGTCAATGAAAACTTAAGAGCAAACTAGTTTATAAAATTATTATATGTACAATCCACATGAATGTGAATATAAAAAAAGTTAATTTAAAAAACGAATATCAGCCCTGCATGCACATATAAGTCAAAATGCTTTTCAATTATGTCTTTGTTATTATAGCAATTTTTTATTGTTTTAGTAATTAACTAAAATATCAACCGACTCATTTTTTTGCAGTAGTTTTCAAATTAGTTTTTTATTTTACAAGTCACATTATTGTTTTATATGATGTTATTCTATATAATACTTTGTATATTCGTAATTAAGGCGTATAATTTACATTGAAATAATTTTCCTCCTATTTTTAACATAAAAGTACATAACGTTTTGTAACAATAATTAAATAATAAATAAATGTCCCTTGAGATTTTAGTTCTATGTAATACTAAAATGGATTAAAGAGCAATGAACTTTATATGCAAGAAGCGTGAGATAAAAGTTGCTTTTGGTAAATTCTTGGTAGTAAATTCAACGTTCGATTCTTCACTTTTATGACACGAATGACTGCTGCGGATATTCTTCCTGCAGCATCGAACGGTGTTTTCTGAACTTACTTGCTCCATATTTCATGTCACATAAAAGCAAGAAAATATGTCACTAAAAAGCAGAACTGATAGAAAGAACATTCCGGATCTATTATAATTCTTATCAATCTACTATTATTAAATTGTAACAAAATATTTAAAATAATAAATAGCGAATTAAAAATGTATTTCTTGTTACAAATACATTTGCAAATCGTATTTTATGAATTATTTTTTAAAGACGTATACATGTTTATTACATATCATATTAATCGTTTTAATTGTCTTTTATAATACTAATTCTATAAAAAAATAGATATTGCATTGCAATATTTATCTGTATTAAATGCTAATTGCTTCTCTTGAAAACTTTCTAGAAATACAGCGGCATAAATGCATGCTGCTTATGTGATCATTTGTTATAGAGCATGGTAAATTCGCGAGGTTAGGTTTCACAGTGAGATTTGAGTTGGTGTTGTTTCTCCGACAATGCCAACGGCATGGTAGAAAGGAGGTTTTGTTTACACTAAGCTGCGATGCACGTGAAAACAATTACATGTCCTCAACAGTATCTCGCCTGATAATGTTCCTCGTGATACCTCATGATCTTCCGCATCTTCGTCATCCATTTCTATTATCACTGGCAAAAGCAATTACTCAAATACGAACTACATACGCATCATATATTGTATTTGATATACCTGTTGCGAGATATCATCAGATTAGACTATCAAAAATTTAGAAATAACAGAAGATACTAATGCTGAGATGTAATGTTTAATCAAATAGATGATTAATTTCCTATCACATTCCTACATGAGATTATCAATTATTCGCAATTAATTATCTGATTCAAGTATAAATTCTATTTTTGAACGAGTTAACTATTTTGGTTAAAAAAATAAAATTAGGACTTAATAATGTGAATACATTACATAAGTAGAAAAGATGACTAAATAAATACATCATGACTAAGTATATACATCAACTTTAATACGAATAATAACTTCGTTAACAAAACATTATCTTGCAGATATATCCGTTTGTCATGTCGTTAAATCATTGCGACGTAATGTCAGTTTTTTTAAACTTATAAATCACGAAATATCACATTGTTTTTTTATACGTATCGAACACAGTTTTTCGCTCATATCCCATGACGTATGAATTTTAAAATACATTCCAAATGAAAAGCGAACAAAATAATAGTATTTTAAAGATGTGGAAATATACATATAAAGCTGGATTCAGATCAAGCAAACATGAGCACAAACAAATGCGAATGATTTATTTCGATAGTATCGCGAGTATTAAATTATTCATGTTTATTCGCTCTCGTTTACTTAGTCTGTGAATCCGATTTAAGACAATGCTAAGCATGTATGACTTAGATCAACTGTTATAATTGATTTCTTGAGCTAAATCAATTTCTCGTTGTATAACTATACATTATACGCTTAACAAATGTTGAAATAAATCTTAGATCGCTACATTGCATGCTTACACACGTAAAACTTTGAAAAATCTATTTAACAAATAAGAGAAATTAAAAACTTCTACATATATGAAACAGCTAAAGAGTAGAATCTCACATAGAAATATCTATAGTATATCATATAATGCCAATTGACTCTGGTGGCACGTATGTACATGCGGGGTTGTCGTTGCGACTGTCTCGAGTGTCGGGAAATTATGTTTCATGTCAGCCAGATGCGCCGAGAATCGCGGTTTGAGCATTCAGAGCGAGTGTAATATTGCAAATAATATTAATGTGCGCGTAATATTATGCACGCGCAAAAAATTGTTCTCTCATCGATTTAAACTAAACTCGATAGATAAGAAAACTTGTTTTTTTTAACGCGTCGCCAAAAGAGCCATTCCACATAAAGTCACTCATAAAACATGAAATTATATTCGACATATGAATTATACACATTCATTACACAACGTGAATACGTGGATTACACCGTACAAACTCTTTCGCGGGATATTACCGCGCAGTAGAATTAAATCCATTCGCTCAATTCCCGAGCGGCAGATGCTGCGTAATACGAGAATGAGAAAATCATTCATGGGTGTTCTACATTCGGCGATCGTTTTCACGTTGGCCTCGCCATTAATGGCTCGAAATATCCCGAGATATCTAAACGAGATCCCGTATTGCATTCTTCGAATGCTACGAGAAATTTTTCGAGAATTATTGTTGACCTCATCACCTTGATACGTCCTAATGCGTTTTCAATCGATCTTTTGAATCTCCTTACAATCCTTCGCAACAGAAGAAAAAATATCTACCTCACAGTGTAAATGTATCAAAAGATTTACACGTGAGAAATCCTAAATTTTAAATGGATGCTTCTCTTATATGTTTGCAACAATTTGATTTCGAACTACTGACTTGATTGATTGAATTAAACAATCTCCGTTATTTTAAGAACACATAGAAAATACATATCACTTGATTGTTCGAAAACGCATTAAACTGTATATTGATACCATTATAAAAAAACTTTACACGGAAAGAATAATTTTGCTGAAGTACCCAAAAATTTAGCTATATACAGATTTAAAAATAATTTTGTTGGACTATCAAAATAATTATGTAAAACGTTCAAACTGTAGAATGTCTTTTATAGCATTGTTTATCATGCTTAAAATTCCTACAATTATTTCGATAATCCAACAAAATTATTTTCAGATTTGTACCTACATCTTTAGATATTTCAGCGAAATGATTTTTTCGTATACATTTCTAAAATTATAAGAAGTTAAAGAGATTATTAAAATTAATCAGTACATTTATTCGCAATAATTTATGTTTATACTTCTAAATTCTTCAATTGACTAATAAACTAGTGTTTCCATAATGCAGTTTTATAAAGGAATGATACGGATTAAATTGATAACATTTGCAAAGCAGAAAATAATTTGAAATTAATTCCCAGATAATTTGGTATTATCTGATAATTTGGTCGTCAAATTAGAACATCCATAAATTTGCTAAATAAAAAATTTATTAAGATTATTCAAAATGAATACGAAATAAATCCTCATTATCAGGCAACTAGTACGAGAATAGTAGGCGGCATTTGGTGGTTCTTCACGCTAATCATCATCTCCTCTTATACTGCAAATCTGGCTGCTTTTCTAACGGTGGAGAGGATGATAACGCCGATCGAGAATGTCGCTGATCTCGCGGAACAAACCGAGATATCTTATGGCACTTTAGAGGGCGGAAGTACGAAGACGTTCTTCAGAGTAAGTGCAGAAAATTACAGAAAAAGAATTGCTTTTACATTTTCTGTGCAACTTAATAGTATATTTTAAAATGTCAATATATATGATTATTACAATGTATTTAAGTATTAACAATTTTCTTTTATGTATTTTCAATATCATAATATTACAATTTTCGTACTCCTTGTTTATAGTATAATTTTTAAAAAATCATTTATATAAAAATTTTCAAAATATAATATTGGTGTTAGAATAATAAGTTATAATAGATAACGTGATCTCTGATCTTTTAATTAATATTTAATAAAATATTAAAGATGCACGTAAAAATACATATAATGAATTATTTAATTCATTATATGAATTCGCTCTCTGAAATAAAAAGAATGTATATATATATATATATATCAAATAAATCTGCTGATGTCGTACTAATGGTTGATCAATTTGTGATATGCATTTAGAAATATCGTATATCATACTGTAAAATTTTAACAGAAAACATCGTTAAACAAAAATATCGTTTTTTGTAAACTCCATTCTCTCTGAGTGAAACGTTTTTCCTTCAGAAAAATGAGCAAATTAGTTGGCTAGTAATGAACAAAAAATTCCTGAATTTAATTTTAATATTGACAATGTTGAAGCTGAACCATTTGCTCAATAAAAACATTTGATATTAATTCACAGATAAAAGCAGATTCTTTCAATTTTAACATTAACTTTTTCGTTTTTCACGATTTCAGGAATTCATGTTCAACTTCAATTTTCGATTAAAATTAACTGTGGAGTACAAAACACAAACTGAACACAAAGCATCACACAATTAAATTTGCATATAGAAAGAAAGAATGATTTTATTAAAGTATCTAAAAATTTAACCAGATACACGAAAATAATTTTGTAAAATTGTCAAACTATGCAGAACGTCCAAGCTGCTAGAATGTTAAAACTTTTTGCAGTATTGCTTAGTATGCTGGAGCTATATAATTATTTTCATAATCCAATAAACTCTGTATCATAGTTAAATTTTTAGATACTTCTGAAAAATCGTTCTCATTGTGCATTAAATAATTTAATCACAGGATTCAAAAATTGGGATCTATCAAAAGATGTGGAGATTTATGGAATCGAAGAGTCCATCTGTGTTCGTTCAAACCTACGAAGAAGGAGTGAAGAGAGTTCTGGAAGGCGACTACGCATTTTTAATGGAGTCGACTATGCTCGATTACGCAGTTCAACGCGATTGTAATCTAACACAAATAGGGGGATTGTTAGATAGCAAAGGATATGGAATTGCTACTCCAAAAGGTAAATATGAATAAAGATAGCAATAAATAAAAGTCATATTTGAAAAGAGTAATTGCCAACGTATTTAATATTGAAAGGTAAGAAGTTTCTGAAATGGATGGTATCCAATTAAATTTCTGCTAAAGAAAAATTGGCTTTCTTAGCCGGCACAGAACGAATAGTTCAAAAGTACGCAGTTTTTGTTCATGAAATATGTAGCTTGTAGCAGTCAAATAATTTTACCAAAAAGATTATATATTTCCTTGAAACGGGAAAAAATTTGAAGATGTTCTATGAGATTAAACCGCATATTTAACATACGTATATTATTTAATAATATATTCGACATATATCTAACGTGCAAAACGTGCAATGGCAAAGTTACGTTCGAGATTATGCTGTAGAAGCAGAAATTGCGAAGCCCTTGGCCAGCCTAACGAAGGCTTTTTATATGCAGGTTCGCCCTGGAGGGATAAAATATCTCTAGTTATACTGGAACTGCAGGAAAAAGGTGTAATACAGATCCTCTATGATAAATGGTGGAAGAATACGGGTGACGTATGCAACAGAGATGACAAGAATAAAGAGAGCAAAGCTAATGCCCTTGGAGTTGAAAATATTGGTATGTTTATATAGCCAATCATATTTTTTATCAATCGAAATTATATACTGTAAAAAATAAAATGTTAATTTTAACTTAAAGATGTTTAGTGACTTTCTGAGATATGCAAAAATATTAATTTTAAAATTTTTGCATGCTTAGAAAGTCCACTAAACGTCTTTAAGTTAAAATTAACATTTTATTTTTTACAATGTAGACAGAAACAATAGAAAAGATTGAACCAGCTAAGGAGAATAAGAAAATTCTTTTATTCTTAAATCATATCTAAAATGAATGTTTACATCAGACTATATAAATAATATCAAGATAGCCATTTTCATTAACGGATTACATAACACAGTATATCAAAGGCTTCCGCATTAATTTTCATGAAATTGAATGACGAAAATGATTGCTTTCACGATGTTTGAATAACTGCTTAATCAATTAAGTTATCATGTTTACCGATACGCATGCATGAGTATATTCAATAATATATTAGCAAAACGAATTTGTGAAGCTGTATTTCATTCATAACGTACATTAACTATACGTACATTAATTATAGCACAACAAATTTGGATTATGGAACCTATCAGTTATATTTGCATGTTAACGTATAAATCTTCGTCACAGCTGCGGCATTAGTGACATTTCGTATTATATGCATATTCGTATACAAAAGGGATGTATTTGTAATGGTCATAACTTCCGCGTGTTCTTCCTACGTGTCTATTTAAGTTTCAGTCACTTTTACTATTCTATTTGCTTTTACATTTAAAAAAGTTGTAAACATGTCGTTGTACAGCAGTATAAATCACTAATGTATTAAAAAAAACTAAATCCAAAAATAAAAAACTAACAACTAGCTTTAGAGATTTATAAAGAAAACTTATAAAGAAAATGATAAGAAATAAATTATAAACATAAGTCGCATTACGCATTAAAAGATTTTAAATAAAATATTATAAAAAGTCAATTATCTATTCATTTTCGAACAATTTGTGGATTTAATATTTTTTTTGTACGTGCATACATAAAGTCTTTAAAGCTAAACTTATTAGATGTTAAAATAAATAAATATCGATAGACAGAAATATCGCGCATAAATATTATAGTTGTCTTCAGTGTCAAAAAGTTAATTTTTTACTATAAAGGACAATGAGATTTGGTTGAATCCACGAAGTGGACAAAGTGAATATTTAAGAAAAGAGAAGGTTTTCAAGCGCGACGGAATCTTGCGGAATCTTGCATAAAGTTCGCGGATGAATTTTTCTTCGAACTCTTCGGAAACCGCTTCCGAATTTTTATGGAAGTCACAACAAGTTTTCTTCTTTCTCCCCCCTCCCCCCTACTTTGATTCAGCTCTTTTCTTTTTTTCTTTCGCTCGCAGAAACTCTCGGGCTATCTACCTACTTTGCCTCCCTTTCCTCGTCATCGTTTCTTTACCGCCTTGTAACTTGGATAAGTACCCATTTTACCGACGGTGTAAATGTACTCGACAAGACAGATAAAAAGAACGAGCTGTCTCAAGTGAGATGCAAAAATCTCGCGAAATTATAGTTGAATTGCTATTTTTCTGTTCTTTTCAATGTCTCTTGATTATTTGCCATAAGAAAAGCGGTCGTTGTCGACTGACCTTTATCGTGCTATTTTTATAAGAATAAGTAGTACCATCTCGAGGAAAAAAGCTTTCAGTAGTCTTAAAGTAATTGAGACAGAAATGTAAAATTAAATGGGCTTTTTCACTTTGTCGGAAGCTTTAAAAAATGTAGAGAATCTTTTCATGGAACTAGTCTCTGAATTCTTGTGAATTATTTAAAATGAATATTTAATTTGATTATAATAAACGTTTTAAAGCATTTTTGATAAAAAATTTAATGATAAAATTTATCATCAAAATTAAAATTGATAATATAGTTAAAATTAAATAACAGAGTTTATTAATAATTATAATTTCTTGTAAATAATGTTAGATAAGTAATTTAACAAAAATTATCTATTATATTAGGTGTTGAAATTAATTCGTAGCGTTTTACAAGTGATGGGAAGTACTTTCATTAATGTATTTTTTAATGCTCATGTGAAATAAATAACATTCTTTCATTAAAAACGCTACGAATTAATTCCAACACCTAATATATTAATTATTAATAAAGGATTTTAATTATGTTTTAATAATCGTTAATTTTAATCATAGTGTCTGTGATATATAAAAATAAAAAAGGAAGAAAAAGAGATTGAATATAAAATAGAACATCAAATATAGAACATCAAATAAGTTTCATTAACGTTAGTTGTTTCAACTTCAATTTATATTTTCTCAAATTAAAATAAAAAAGAACAAAAAAGAAGCAGGAAAACAAGCTAAGGATTCCCTGTGATCTAAATAAAAATAAACGTATAAAGTATAAATAAAAATAAACTGAAATAAAATACAATCAAAGTTAACCAATCATTTACTATATAAAAAATATATTCCGTCATACAATATCGTTGCTGCATTTAAGATTATATTTTCTTATGTATATTGTATTCACTGACCAATGAAGCAAAAGATAAACGTATTCTAATAGTATTAAGACGATAATATCGGAAATTCGCTTGAATCCACTTAGCGCGACCTTGCATTCTCTTTACTCATTTGCCTTAGAATATCGCTAACTCTGCGGAGTTTTCGAATTAGCGTGAGAATCTCTCGGAGAACGGTGAGCTCTGAATAATTCTCGGTTCGTGCCTAAGTGTTTTGGCAAAAGTCCGTCCCGTCTCACGGAAAACTTAGGCATATATCCTGTAGCTCGGTGAACAGAACTTCCCGCCGCGAAACTTGGATCAGCCTGTAGGCGCACAATGTCGCACGACCTCTTTCCGGACCTAGCTCTTGATATCGTTTTGCGAAATAGGCGTGAAACACCGGTGATATCCAGGCTCCCGCGCGAGAAACTTTCGTCTTTCCGGTGAAACGTCCGGACTGTCATCATAAATCACGTCGGTGTAGTTATGCAAATCTACTTTGCATCCCCCCCCCCGAGATCCCGGCTCGGTTGTCTTGCCGTCAACGATAAGTGGACACTTTTTAGCCTGTTCAAAAGCGTTCTCCATCCTCCATACTTTGTTCCCCATTCTTTCGTCTTGAAATATATAGCTAAAAGTTTCATGGTAAAAAATGTTTGCCAGAGCAGCATAAGCAAATGTATTCCACAAATTTTTCTCTATTTTATTGTTGTCAGGTTTAATAATTATTTTATATAAATTAAAATAATTGGTTGTTTTTTACGTATAATTAAAAATAATTTAATTATAATTATTTGAAAATAATTAACATCTCATAAATTTAATTACATAAAAGGATGATCTTTAGTAAAAATTATAGTATGTATTATAGAGAATAACTGCAGACGGTGATCAATTACTAATAACTCAACTCGAGAAATTGAGAAGTTCCCAGAAGGTAAATTTGCTGACTGCATGGAAACCGATTCGATGTATGGATTCCGTATACCGTATTTTCGACCAATAAAGTGGAAACTCATCTTTGATTACGTACGAAGAAATATTGGCGAAAAAGTGTTTACCAAAGCAGTTTGCTCAAATTTTATTTTTGCTAATCTCAAATTTTAAATCCCGTTATATTCACTCATTAAATTTACTCATTAAATTTTTATTAGCTCCTAAATAAAATACGGAATAAATATGGAACAATTTTTCTGAACTCTTTAAAAATTTGTTCAAATATTATTTTAGTCGATAATTATACGAAATATTGAATTCTACTTGAAGAAATAAGGCAAGTGGAATGTAGCAACTCATAAGCAACTAGCATATATTAGTTCATGACTCGTGTTCAAGAAAGTTCCGGTTTTGCGAATAATCTCACGAATCATTGTGGAAACAGCCATTAATTTCAAATGCAACGTTCTCTTGAACTTTCGCATACTTCCTATCCTTTCGTTTTTATCAGAGGTAAGCTAAACTTCGTACCAAGCGTAAATATCCTTCCAGAGTTCACTGTTTTCGCACGACTCTTGCATCGCAATAAATACAAGCACCTCGCCATTTATCAGTATATACGTTTCCATGCACGCCCTACTCACGGTCGTTACCCGCGAATACTCCATCGCGAAGTTTCCCCATGAAACAGACCAAAAAGTATAATGCGATCGATTTGAAAGTGCACGCTCCGCTTAGATATTGCGCGCACGATTTTCCGCGGCCGCCGCTGCGGAGCCTTTTTTCTTTCGCCGTATTTCTTTTCTCTTTTCTTTGCTCCTCGACCAAACCAGTGCTACAAAGGGTGGTAGAGGAGGGGAAAGGATGAAGAAGTCACGAAGAAAGTTCGAGAGATGGGGTACAAACACGCCCCATCGTACTTCGTGGCTGCCAACGGCGTCTCGTTTGCGGTAAAATTAGAGAAAAACGTGCGGCTCCGCCGACATTAAAATAATGAGCTTTCGGTTTTGTCATTTCAGGCGGTGTCTTCGTTGTACTGCTCTGCGGTTTGGCACTAGCGATCCTGGTGGCAATCCTCGAGTTCTGTTGGAACTCCAAAAAGAATGCCCAATCGGACAGGGTAAGTTAAAAGAGATGCCGATATAGAATTTTATGTGAACATGTTGCATGAGTTGTACTTTCTCATGGATGGACGAGGTTCGTTTGAATCTTACCATTAATTCAAAATTCTGTCATCTTTTTGACTTTCGTGATGATTTTCTCGACTTATTATTTTCTATACACTGAGAAAAAATATACTAAATTTTAACAAATATTCGTTTGAATAGTATTATGATAGTAATAGTACTAACTTAATATTTATTTACAATAAATAAATATTTACTAAATAAAAAAATTATAATTAAATCAAATTAATAATTATGGTACAAATAAATGTATGTTTATATTTAGCTACAAATAGGTATTAAAATTTAATACGTTTTTCTCAGTACCTTGCATTATTATTATTGCATTGCTTTACACTAAGCGATAAAAGGCAGAATGCATACAAAATATAATGAATAAAATTCTAGTTGAATGAAAAAAATACAATAGTGCAAGAAGAATAATCACACAAGGAATTTAATTCATATAGCTGCAAAGTTAATCCTGCCTGAATCTTTGTATTCCTTTCGTACATTTAAATCAAATATCTGCCTTCTCATTTACGGTGACCTTAACGTCAATTTGATTTATGTAAGTTAAATGCATATAGACTGAATGTTAATGCAATATATATCCGTGGCAAGCATTTATTCGAAAGAACGTCTTGATGAACAGACGGCTTCACGCGACGGAGAAGTCAGCCTTGCATGCATTCAGGTCTCGTATGATCGTTTCGTGTATTGTCTCTTGGTGTATGTTGTACCTGTCGTATCGGCATCTGCTGCATCGTCAACGATTACTTCTCGGATGGTAAACACGCACATGCATCTACTACGCATCGACCATCATTTAACCGCTCGACAGTCTCTCTGCGCCGAGATGGCCTCGGAATTGCGATTTGCCGTCCGCTGCGGCTCCAGGCAGAGGCCCGCTGCGAAATCGCGCAATTCCGCGGCCGCCGGGCTATGCGGCCGTTGCAGCCCGCGCTCTTCCAGGAGAAGGACGCGACTCTGCTCCTCCGAACACGAGGAGACGACCTACATACCGAGCATCGAGATTCCGCGATTAAATGGTGTAAGTCTTGTCCCACATGACGGGCACGCGATCAAGTTTTGCAATCGGCATCTCTTCGAGGATACTATAGTACAGTTTGCAAACTGTATGTTCGATATTTTCCTATCTTCAATTAAATTTCAAAATAATAACGACGACTTAAACAACTTGCATCGCGCGACACAATTAAGAATTCTGCTCAGACACTTGCAACGGACTTGAACAAATTATCATTGGCGTACATATTCAAAGAAAAAAGTGGCAAAACAATCAGCAGAGATAGAAACGTGGCAACAGATTACTCGAGAGCTTTCCGAGGAGAGCCGATTGTTGGTCGCGCGGAGCGATACTCATTCCACGGTAATTCAATTTCGTCGAACAGAGCCAATTACGTGGATTCTGGATTTTTCTCGTCTTTGTGTTAGAAACTATTCCTGAGAATCAATATGCATGTGATATTGGTCGAAGATTCGCGATTCGTATTACCGTGCTGAGAGTACAGTTTCCAAAAGCCCCTCTTTTTTCTAAACATTTCTCGTTTTTATATTATAGAAACTCGAATTCAGAGAAATAATGGATATTCGAGAAAGATTCCGCACATCATTTGACAAGGGAGTATTATAAAAGCCAGTTGTCTCCCACGCGGATTTCGCACGAATTTATTGTACACCCCACGTCTATTTGTAAAGTGTTGTGACAATGTATACGTTTTTTTCTTTTTTTTTACGATAGCTGTTAAGTATTGATTTTAGATTGGTTACTTCACGGCGCGAGTGCACATTATGAAGCGTATAATTCATTATAAAATATTTTTTCGTTTGCGCACGTTTTATGTTTCGCAGTTAATGAACTGCCTACACACACACACACACACACACACACATACACACACACAATGCAGGATTATGTCATACACGCTTACAATTGCAGTATTGTACGTTAGACATAATTGCATGCATAAACTTGCAACAATAACAGTGTGCGCTTTATTGCGCGTTATACCTTCGAGCGATATTTAATGAAATTTCTATAGAGAATGGTTTAGTCTCATGATGCAAATATTACATGATGAGTAAAATCAATATCGTATATTTATCTTTTTCGTTGAACGTATGAGCCGATCATGTTCTTGAAAACTTGAGAGGAACGTATGTAGGTTACACTTTTATAGAGAGCCATCTTTCAATGCAAACCTATCAGGAATATTTCATACAAAAACACATACAAGAGTATTCTATAAATATTAACCTTAAAAATATAAGTTCTAAAAAATGTTCAAAGAATAAAATACTTCATTATCTAAATGAACAAGTGATGTGCGAAAAAAGTTCATAATACGGAAGTAATTTTTTTAAACTTACTCTCTTAATTATTTTTTTTTCTTTATGTATACCAAATCCATTGAATAAAAAACTTTAAATTATAATATATATTTTGAAATAAAAAAATTATTTATTCTACGTATAAATTCAGAATTATCAATAAATCAAAAACGAATAAATTTAATAAATTATCGTATAATTTCTAAAATTAATAATAACATGATTTGAGTAAAAATTATTATTTTACATACAGAAAGATCTCTTTATCATTTGTAAAATATTTTCAAATTAGAAAAAAAATCATAAATTTGCTAGAAAATTTTAAAAGAATTACATGCATATTCTAAAGACTAAGCACTTAAATCACTTTGTATCATAGAGATGATACGAATTAACACTTTTCATTAGCATTCACAAATTTATGAATCACTGACGCTGTTGGAAAAAAATTTCCATGTGATAAAAGCGACGTGTTTTTCTCTCGTTCTCTCGTTTTACCTCTTTCCGTCATATCATGTCTCTTTCATCATACAGACTTTTTCAGCTGCTTTAAAATTAATTACAATCGCACTGTGATATAATTAAAAACTCATTTAAATTCCATCAAAGCTGAACGACCAGTTCAAAGTCAAATATAACTGTTACTTCAAATTCTAGTTCTCTTGAATGAAAATACGTGATGTATCTTTTGAAATGCCACCTGCCAAATACTGCTACGATAATGTAAAGTGATAGACTGCAGAATCGACCCTATAACCATTCAAACTCTTCAATCATTGTCAGCACTCGTTCTTTTCGAGATAAAGGAATGATTACTTTAAAACAAAAAAATGATGCACAATTTCCCATATACGATCGAAAATCCGTAAAGTATTTACGATTTAAAATGTATTGTATCCGCTTCGAATGTATTGTATCGTAACATATACTTCTATACTATCCAACAGCAATTAACTCAATGTTAATGTACCATTTGTCGATGCGTAATACACGCTATAAATAGGGACATCCGTATTGTTGAGAAAATGCAATTGTATTCCAGCAAATTCCGCGCAAATTCTGAATTCCAATAAACCACATTGACCGCATTATTCCGTCTACACTATTCGAGTACTCTCTGTTCATTATCTGTCACATTATCATTTCTCAAACCATGATTCTCGCGCTGATTTATACAATAAGTACAATAGATCATTCCCCATTCAAGTAAAATTTATGTAATATATTTAACATATTTAACATCTACACATATATATTTTATACAAACGCAAAGAAAAAAAAATCAAATAAAATGTCAAATTAAAATGTATTTGATATTAACTATCTTGTTCGTATTATTATTAAAATTCTTCAGTGTTGAATTGTATTAATGCAGACTAGTCATTTTTAATTATTTACGTAAGATCGATCTGCCTAGAATCTAGACTATTCGCAGAAAAATTCGTTTTATTAACCGCAAGCTTCACCTTCATATAGCAGTCTTTTAACCAGCAATATGTCTGCGTGTATATTGTGAACGCCTCGCTCCATTCTGAAAACGTGATCCGAAAGCCATATCGGCACTACCATATCCCGGAATTCCCGTAAAAAAAGATCGTTTCGCGAAGCACGTGCTGGTCGTTTCAAACACAACTCTAAAAATATAGTTATCAACGTTGGCGCACGGAGGCCCAATGATAATCTTCCTGCCTATCTTTAAAAACTTTTAACAACTTCTTACACAACTTTTTAATAACTCTGTTCACTTGTCTCATCGCCAAACTCTGTTCTCTGTTAGTCAACCTGATATAGCTAACACTTGCGCTTATTTATCTCTCAGCAGGAGGGTGGTGCGTTGTCGATGACGGAGATGAAGAAATCATTGAGCTTCGATCAAGTGTCCCATGGCGGGAACACCTAGCACAGGCTTCGTCCTCATCTTCGTCCTCAACAGCAGCAACAACAGCAGCAGCAATCACAACAACAGCAACCGCCACCGTGCAAAGCTACCCCCACGCACACGCGTCACACGCACTGCCACTCACATTCACATCTTCACAGCCATCACTCGCACAAACACCAAGCACCTCCGCCGAGACAGAGACGGGGCTCTTCGGGCATCATCTTGGGTCAAGGTACAACCATCTATCTGCCACGAGATTGTCCCGTCCTATTATGTTCACTAAGTCAAGTGATGTATTGATCATTATTGTTATATACGTTCGCATATCACGGAAAAGATATCACGCTTTTGCTTAAGTATCTAAAAATTTACCTAGATACAGATCCGAAAATAATTTTGTTGGATCATTAAAATAATTATGCAAGACGCTCAAGTAAATTGTTAAAATGTCAAAACTTTTTGCAGTAATGTTTAAAATTTCTACATTTTGATGGTCCAACAAAATCATTTTCAAATCTATATCTAGATAAATTTTTAGATACTTCAATAAAATTCTTCTTTCCGTATAATTAATTTGCAATATCTTTATAGTTACAAAGCAGCGAAATCGAAAGAATATTAACAATTTATCCAAAAATATTAAATATGGAAAAAAATAATGTCTTTGTTACAAAATGAAATTATTATTGTAAAACTTTTATGTTTTTTTGCGTTATGTTTTAAATATCTTTCTTCATTTTTATTATTATTATTAGCAATAATAAATTTATATATGTATATAGGTATTATAAATGTATCCTAAAAGGTATAAAATAATTGTATATATATTAATATAATAATATATTAATCCACATATTGACTCTAGAATCTATATTTTAAAGTCTATTTTTTAATCTATCTTTATTCAATGAATTATAAACTATTGTACTGTATTAGGAGGTGACCACCCTGAGAATATTCTCTGGAGATTCGACTGCGATCTAGCGGGTGAACCAGACGTAGTAATTTCTCCGCCGCCCCCGCCGCCACCGCCACCCTCGGCAACTGTCTCGAGAACCACGACCCTTTGACCAATACTTGAAGAGGTGCCAACAGGTGTACCTGTCCAAAAGGAACTACCCACGCAGGCCTCCGTGGTCGTCAACATTACAGATCAGAAAGAGACGTGCTTATAGCACATATAGTCGCCGGGGTGGGTTGGTAAACCGCAACGAGGGCCATCCCGCTCCGACGACGACGGCAAATCATCGATCGAGAGCATGCAAACGAGAACCTGAGACTGAGGTCAATTGAACGAGAATGTCATGATTAGAATTAGTATTTCCTGCAAGATGCGTTCTCCTATTGTTTCAATGGGACTATGATAAATAGACGTGTGATACAACTAGCTCGATATTTGAAGATTGAGTAAAATCAAGATTATATGCTGGCACATATGATCCTCCCTTGTATGCCCGATACCGAAGGTATCGAGAAAAGCGATGTTAATGCAAGGATGTGTATCTAATCGGGATAATGGATGGAAACTACCTAGTTACTCATGTGTAACTGTTTGTCTAGGCAGCATCGAATGAATGGATCCTGGAAACTATCAAATTTACCGGTCTATAAAGACAACGGAATGCTATTCGCAAACAATGCGTGTTCCTCATGCGTCTGACCGACCATATATTTGATCAACAAATTGAAGCCAAAATTGAGATATCAAATTAAAAAGTGTCAGTGCGTGAATGTCACGGATCAATCGGAATAATGAGAACTGCATGGAAAATGAAATATCACGCGCAATGCCAGTTGACCAGGAATTGCCGGTGTTTCGAAATTCCCCGAGGCAACGGTAAAATCGAGTGGAAAACCGGATATTTGTTCAAAGTATCCGACCGAACAGACCAGAAACCGTTCGCGACACCACGACGGAACACGAACTGATATTATAGCCGAATTTCAAGTTAAACATATCGAAGCGGATTTAGAAAATTGATGAAGCTTGTTAAATCGACTGGTTTTCACATATAAAATTGTATTCCATTCATGTCGCGATTCGTAGACTGAAATCTATTCGCGGGAACCAATAAATTATAAAACATCAAATTATCCATTGCAAAATATCTAAATAAACATTCTCTCATTCTCTTTCAACTCGGCAGTAATATGTAATTAATGTACGAAAATACAGAATACAGTCATAATATTCATTCCGATTTTACACAACTTTATGTGTGAATACGAGAGAGCGTCAATGGCAAGATCGCTGACATAGTTGCACGTTAATGCGATGCCAATGTCTATTGGAATACAATTTCCAGTGACAATAATTTCGGACCGCAATTTTGCAGCAATTATAATATTCACGAAAAATTAGATCTTTCACTCAAAAATGCAAGACAGAAAGAACCAATAGACAAATAAATTGATCGTACGCTATAAACGGCTGAATAAAAAATTGCATGTATAACTAAACATGGATGGCTGTATCATATATGATTTGGACCAAATTAGTAACCACTGCCGGATTTAGCCTAAACAAATTTCATGCGTCCAATAATTTCGAATAAAAACATGCAGGTACAAAAATCAAATTACAAAAAGTGAATACAAGAACTGCTTATTGTTACAAAGAAATTTACAAAATTAACTAATAATTTAAATGTTATTTCTAAATTTATAATATATAAAATATAATTAATAAGAAATACAAGATTCGAAATTAATAAAAAATATATTTTACATATTGTTGTTTATTTCAGAAATTATTTATTTAATTAGACAAATACGAACATTTAGGCTGGGATTCATGGCAAATATAATTCGTAAATAATTTCCGATATTTGATCCAGAATTAATTATAGATAATTAATTATAGATTCATATTTATAAATCGTTATTCAATTATTAGATCAATATTTCAAAAAAATTTCTGTTTTATGTGAATCTATATTTGAAAAATCTGCTACTATTTTTATGATTCATGATCTGTAAATGATTGTCTGTTAATGATTATTTGTCATATAATTATCGACTATGAATAACGATCTTTAATTTTATGTTATAACAAAATCCAACAAATCTTTAATAATAATTAATATACGTATGCATTTGACACATAATATATGAAATTTCTTTTGTTACATGGAAAGTAGTGAATAAGTATGTTAATGTAAAATTAATCTTAAAAAAAATATTAGCAGTTCTATAAAATTTGAAAAATCAAGCAGAAATTGAGTCGTAAGATACTTCAAATGATGAGTAAAAGAATACGATCACTGGCATCAAACTCTTCCTTATTGTATTATAAATAAGATAGTACGCTAATTGTTGAAAAAAGATTTCTAAATCTTTTATATATGTGTAATTTATAAATACACTTAATGTATGTATAAATCTGTATATGTATGTATGCGTTGACATATGTGTGTGTGTGTGTGTGTGTATACATATTACGCGCGTGTGCGATAAACAGGAAATCCGTGAAGCGTGCAAATGCAACAAAAGACCTAGTCATATTTTGACACAATCGAATAGTTTATTATTATACTGGCGCGTGTACAGTGTTTTTCACGAAAAAGTAAAAGAGGTAACCCAATTAACTGTTTGACAATTTTTAGCTATACATTGCGACGTTCCGTATTGTGAACATATTATTACGTGTACCGCTATTTGTTGAAGAGAACATCGTTCAGCGAATTTATTGATACGTTACTAACTGTTGTTGGAAAAGAAAGAGTGAGAACAATTCTGCGAGTGTGTACGTTTAACATTACGAAAAAAATAAAAAAAAGGAGAGATAAAAAACACAAAAATAAACAATCTGTACTGCCATTTATAACAAATAATTCGCGACACACAGTCTTAATTCCATCATTTATACGGTCACAATACACATTGCACACAACATACAATTAAAGAGCAAAAGTCAAAATCATCGAGACCGTTAAATATTCATCATGGAATTTATTAGCAAAAAAAGGCGACGATTGTATATGTATATATGTGTGAATAATATATAAATTTTCAGTGGAGCAAATCTATATCAAAATGTGTGCAACAAGAAAATCACGACACACTACTTCCATTCTTGCATAAGAGATATTTCTATATTCTCATCTTCGTGAGAATTTTCTGAAACTTCCAAAAACAGTTGACTATTGTTATACTATATCTACGATTATTACGTTTTTTGACAAAATTAAGCTTTATTTTTTTGTTGCATGAAAATGAAAAAAAAACAAATGATCTAAAAATTTAAAGCAACTGCTCAAGGTAGAAGCTGGCAATGATTTATCGGCGCGTAAATGATCAAAGTCTAGTTATATAAAAGGGATGTTTATGAATGTTTATCATCAGCGAGAACAATTGGGTACTTTCTCTACATCGAAATATAAAAAATTTGAATACTGATTGTACAGTTTTTAGTAATACAGGAAATAAATTTTGTCGACGATCGTAAAAATTTAAATCTGTATATAAAATTATGAACATAAAACATATTTCTTACCTCAATGCTATTATTATAGTAATGTAAAATTTCCGTGGTTAGCGCTGAAGATAAACTTTTTTTTAAATAAAAATAATTCATTATTGAAACATTAAACATAAAAAGGGACGTAAAATTGACAATGTCTTTACACTAAAAAAAAAAAAAAAAATTAAACTTTTAAAATCCTGTAGTTTTTAATATTATTTTATAAAAGCATGATTTTTGAGAAAAAAATGTTTTCACATGACAACATTAATAGATAACAAACTGAAAAACTGCAAAGCTAATATGTTCAATTCATTTTTTTCCTTTTTTTAGTGTATTTTTCAATGGAACATGTTTTATTTTTACTTTTTTCGCAAATTCTTTTATTTATACAATTCAATTTATTCCGTTATCGCACAATGATATGACAGCTTTTGATTGTCTCTTTATATAGGTTTTTTATAAACAGTAAATGTAGCTACCAATCTTTCGGAAGAATATCCGCCGAATGTTTATGCAAGTATATGCCTAATTCTACAGTTGTACCTACTTCATCAAATGATTCTGTCAGCACAACATTTCACGGACAAAACAAAAAGTCAATACAAACGTTTTGTCAATCACAAGTAACGCTTGAATAAAATATTTCAGAGAATATTCCTATTTTTCATCAATCATCCACCACTATCACTACAAAGTTTATGCTAATTTGATTTGCAATTCTCGACAAGTACCGTTTAGATGGCCCAAAAGCGTATCCAATGGCTCTCAACGACTTGCGGGACAGAGCAACTATATTCAATGGATTTCGAGGAAATTGTTACATCGCAAATCCGTAATCGTATCTAATCCGATATCTATAGAACAAAGCAGATAAAGCTAGCAATCGGTGAAATACGCACGACTGAGCGACTGTGCATCTCCCAAATTCTCTAATCAAGTCAAAGATTCAATTTATCCAACAAAACAATAACTCGAGCAGAAATCACGAATAGAATAAGCTCTAGCATTTCGCTCAAAAAGATTCATTCAGTTATATAAAAATTTTTTATTTTAATTTCAATTGTCTGAGTTATTTCGTAACATAAATATTAAATTCTTTCATAGCAAAAAACTTAACCATTACCGAATCTATCGAATGAAAAATTAGTAATTTTTATCGTTTACTATAATATTATTCTCATAAATAACAAATATTTATAATAATTAATGAATTCTACATATCTTATGATTATTAGAAAATTTATGAAGCCACATTAATTTGTTATATTATATTTGCAATCATTTTTCAAAATCGCAATGTATGTCATGCAACATAAAAAGAGGAAAATACTGTTAAATAAATAAATTTCAGAAATATTATATCTTTAATTTTACATTTCCATCGCATGCATTTCGTACGTTAAATTGTTAGAAAAAGACTAAAATGACGTTACAGCTACGCCATCGAAAATTGCATTCGTTTAGTCATGTGCATCAAAGAGAGTACACTAAAATCCAGGTCATTCCCCGACATTTGAGAATAGTGAAAAAATGTGAGGAAGATACATGGAACGCAATCATCTGAAGTGAAGCTTTGATAACTTTCCGGAGCAGCTAACCATTACACGGAATTTTATAGTCGATTCCTCGAAATATTTCTCGGTGAATGTACTTCATGGAGACACAATTAATAAATAAAAATAAATTTGTTTAATGTTTAATATATTAATACTTCTATTGCTTGACCTTTTCCTAATTTTCCTAATAAAATTTAATTTTCTTTTAATTTTTATATTTGTATTATAATAAAATTACACTCATATCTGTCGTCTAAATTGCATCTCTAATTCTCGGTATGTATTAAAGTTACAAAATATATTAGACAAATTTATTGAACGAACGAGATTCAAACAAAAAAATTTTAATATTACTTAACGAGACTCTAGAACAAATAATTCTTTTGCTTCATTGTCTTTTTCCTTTTCTTTTCGTTTTCTTTTTATTTTTTATCTCTTAAAACAACTAAAACCAATGGAAAGATCCATTAATGTCCAATGTTTTAAAATAGATGTCCTTGCTTTTCTTTATCTTGACACAATCACTCCTCTTTAGTCGGTTCGTTAACAAATCACAAGTAAAACAAGATTTATTATAGCAATAACACAAATTGAAATAAAACGAGGTAAATTTATATGCAAAGTTAATTGGAAATGTGAAATCATGTGATAACACTGCTTAAAAATATTACAAAA